CATCCAGTGAGTTTCCTCCTACAGTGCTACTTTGGCACTTTTACAGTATAGACATCATAGAATTTAACATGGGCAATTGGCTTGTAATGAATACAGCTATTACACACTCTGGGGATCTTTCTGGATTTATAAAAATAGTTGAGTTTGGAGAAAGAGCTGTGACTTTATCGTAAGTGGATTTGCAATGACATTGGATTTCCATCTTGGCTACCCACTAGTAGTGGCAAATACTAGATGCTGATGATGTTATGTTTATAGATTAGCCGGCTTGAGGGACAGGTGCTGAGATACAAAACTGCTGCTGAGAATGCTGAGAAAGTTGAAGATGAACTGAAAGCAGAAAAGAGGAAGTTACAACGAGAGGTACTTGTTTTTATATGCTTTTTGAGACAGTGAAGTCCTAAGAGATAAAATCTTTTGGAAATAAAGTTTTCTAGTGTGTAAGAAATTTAATAGTGGGTCAAACCTTAAGGAAATAGCAGTGTAGTTCCTTAGTTGGATTGATTTTGGGTTACAGTGACTGCCATTTACTTGTATGTTTTGGTCAATAAGCTAAAAAGTAGTTTTAATTATTGTTTCAGATCAAATCTATTTCTGCAACTTCTCTTATGTTTAAACAACTTCTTGAAGATTTAAATAGTCTTTAGTATCATTGTTCATATCTTTGAATGATGAGAGGAGTCCCAGGCAATAGCAGTGCTTCACTTTTCCATAGTTAAAAGAGGAGTGCGAGTTTTGTTTCTAACCATGTAAAATGACTGTGCTTTTCCTGTCTCCAGTTAAGAACAGCACTGGACAAAATCGAGGAGATGGAAATGACCAACAGCCACCTAGCCAAGCGGCTGGAGAAGATGAAAGCCAATAGGACAGCGCTTCTGGCCCAGCAGTAGTAGGCCCTTCGCCCTGGTGCGCAGCTCTGTGGAGCCTGTGTGGCTTAGTGGAACTGACTCATATATTGACACAAACCCCTTTCAGTACTGTTTGAGTTTTGTCATTAAAATAGGCACCTTTGTATTTTATAATTTATGAGAATGAAGCAGGTTTGAATCTTCATGATCACTTTGGATTTTATTTGTAGTTTTATTTGAGACTAAGAACTGGTCTGTGCTTTTTTAATTTCAGGATCAAGTTTACTCAGCGTTTCCTCTGCCAGCTGCCTCAGTGTCTGGGCACTTGGAGGCCTTGGCTGGGGTCAGAGGACAACAGTTCTGAGTGCTGAGACACTTGTTGGAGGCCTCAGAAAACACAAGTGCCTTCTCCACAGTGCAGTGCAGACTTCAGTAACCGCCAGTGTGCAAAAGACATTTAGTCTTCCTGTCAGCATTCATACTTTAGTGAAGAAAACAACTTCATTGGTGGAGAATCTGTGTTTCACTCAAACTTATGTTTGGAGGAAAAACCCTTTTTTGTAAAATGTTTAAATTTATATAAGAAAATGTTAGGAAATACATGAGTAGTGTATATAAAACTTGCTTTACTGCATGGGACAGGGAAGCCCAATACGTTTACTCTTAAAGCAAGAGTGAGGTCCTTAGTCTTCCCTATCCACTGTGCTGTATCTTGTATAGTATTTTCATGTGCTGCTTATTTGTGAAATGAAACCTCAGACAAGCCCTGAGGTAGAGGGAGGGGATGGACAGGCAGGTGGGAGATCTGCCTCGAGATTCTATTAAACACACACTGTTGCCAACCATGACACACTTATTTTGATACAGGAACCTTTAAAAGCAAATCATGGCAACGATACCTTTCTTGTCTTGCTGCTCTTTTTTCTCTCAAGGAAAAATAACCGGAATATAGAACTTTTCTTGTAAGAACTGTTAATTTCATCTAAAGGTATCAAGTTTGAGGTTGGTTTTAAGTCAAGTTACCGGTATATCCACTTTGCAGGGTTTGTGATGTTCTTTTGCTGTCAGAATCAAGGTGGTTTTATGGAAATGATTATGTAGCTTCAAAGTGCTTACACAGAAAATATATTGGGAAAAACTTTAATGAATTAAGACCATTTAAGATAATAGCTAGATTTGAAACTAGATAATAAACTCAAAGTGAATAAAATCTCCAATAAGTGTTCCCTTCTTCAGAGTAATTACCCTTCATTTTAAAGACATGGAAACCAATCTCCTGAAGTGAGCTGGCATCCTGTAAATTTTCTAATAGTGACAACTGTTCTGTGGCTGGTGATGGGTGTGAGAAATGCTCTGAAATGCAGATTTAGCCTCTCATCCCCCAACTGGAATTAACAGACATTTTGGTTTAGCTCTCCCTTCCTTGGGAAACCACACCCTCTCTCTTTTCAAGGACACCAGGCTCACAGAGCTCACCGCACTCTGTTGTTTGGAGTTTTAACTGCCAGAAACTTGCCTTTTTTATAGGCAGACAAATACGTAGCTTCCATTCTGTTGTCCCAGTCTTTTTTATATGAAATGGCTCTATTCATATCGTGTTCTTTTCCACAGAACTTTCTTCATTGAGTCCATTACAGTGCTACCTCAGTTCACAAATTTAATTTTTTTTGTAAGTCTAGTTGCAGACCGAACTGGATGAGAACTGAACCAAATTTTCCCGTTAGTCCAACAACGAGCCTAATCATTGAATTTGATTCCGTTCTTGTGTAATTCACGTTGTGACTAACTTATGGAAAGAATTAAGTTTGTGAACTGAAATACCTCTGTGCCTGGATTTTACCTTAAAACCACTACCAGTCTTCCTCCCTGGCTCTGTTGCTATCAATGTAGTCTAATATTAAGATGGCATATTTTGGCACTTACAATTGAAATCTATACTTTCTCCTTCAAACAATAATACCTAGAAACTTCCTAAGTGGCTAGTGCTTATAGCTAGTTAAAAGAGTAACTATTTTCTTCTTTCAAGTTTTTACCCTAATAAATTAACTTTGGTTACTGAAAATACAGATTCTTATAACTTTCTCAGGAATTGTTAAGAGTCTCTTACTTGTTCAGGTCTTTTAATAGGTATCTGAACTGACACACATATTACACATATACTTTTATCAAGTTAGAGAACAATCAAAGAAATCTTCAAGACTTTTTAGAAATCTTTTAGAATGCTTATTGGTGCCTGAAGTACACTATATCAGATTCCCATGGGAGTCTGACCTCTTTTGGGATTCATGAACAGAGACTGATAGATAAGCAAAAATAAATCTAGGAAAATTTTCACATGTAATGAAATTAACATGAAACCATGTTAGGACACATCTGACAATTTATTTACAACCCACTGTACAGGAAGATGTGCTACTTGTGCACATACTCAACCTTAAATCTTAGGCACAACATTGGAATACAAAACACCCCATGTCCCATAAATGGTCATATTTAACACCTTTCAAAGACTTTGTATAGATCTGGAAGGTTAGCAAGCTGCAGGACATTTCCATCTTCTGTGAAATGTTTTGGAGGCATAAGATGTGAGCGGAAGGCTTTGTAAACAATGTGTTCCACAGTCCACTTCCAGGGGTTTGGAGTGGAGCCTGACACTTCACTCTGGAACACACAAGTTAGATGTCATAAGCCTCCTGGCACATACTGGCTTCTGGGCTGAGGGGAAGGGCATTGGGTCTGGAAAGTGTCTGTGGCTTGTAATGAGCTGTGTGGTTTAAAGCTTGGGAAGTGGCCTCAATACAAGTTTTTTTGGGGGGGAGGAGGGGGGAATCTATAGGCCTGAACACATGGAACAAGGATTTTGAGGGCAAAAGCAGTCACTGCTCTATGAACTATCTTCTATGGGACCTCTATATCTGTAAAGGGAGGATGTGCTGAATGCACAATCTAACCCACTGATGCTGACTGATGTCTGGATGACAACAGCTGAAATACCTAAATTCAACTAGCTGTGTTTTCCTAAAAGTTGCACAGATGAAAAAAAACGGTAATTTTGTCATGTTGTTTCTAAGCTTTATTTGTCTCATGTACAAGAAAATGTCATCTGCCCTTTCCTTGAAGTATACTTTTCCAATCAAAAAGATACTCTCAGCACAGTTTGGCAAGTGTGCTGCCTTGCCTTGTCTGTTGGAATGAAAAGTTCCATAGAGAAGCAGCTGACAGGACCTAGGAAGGCCTGGAAGGTACTCAAGGCCCTGGGAAGCCTAGAGCACACCACCTGTCCTGCAGCTTCCTCATGGATGAACCTGGAACAGATCACTTCACCTCAAGGGGTGCCTGTAAGCAATCACTGAGGGTAATGATGTGTTCAAGTTGCTATCCTGTGGTTGTTACATTATTTTTACCCTTTTCTCTCATCTTTTCTAAAATATTTGTTGATTGAAAAACACGGTTATCTGACTAGACAAACATTTGCAACCCAGGATCTTTGTATCCAACTGACCTGTAAGGGGAAGGAAGGCAGAAAGCCCATTTAATTGCCTGCAAAGGGAGCTACAGACCTAGCAGCCTTGTACTATCTAACTCAGGTTTCCCTGTCACTATGATGGCATGTGTTTCTACATTTGACAGTTTTTAAAATGACTCTAAACTAGCAGAAGAAAATTTAAAAAGGCGGCCATTGTGTTTGAACCTAGTGACAAATGAAAGAATGTGGGGACTCTTCCCGTTCCCAGAGTGCCAGTAGGCATCAGCAGAGTACCTGCTGGCTCGAGAGGGTCGACTCCTCTGATACATACTGCTTCCGGATGGAGTAAAACATAGCACATTCTTTACTGAGGCTTTCAAAACATTCCTTTTCTTCATCCCAATTTACCTGTTTCAAAGAATTCAGTATTTCAAGACAAATAATACTCATTGCATTATTTTTAAATGGAGCCATAGACAGCCAAAAAGGAAATATGGTATCTTAGGCACTAAAACTACATTGGATTGCTAAGTATTGAGGAATATTCAGGTGAGGATGGCACTTTCAGGTATTTCCCTTTGTCATCTATAGTTCAGATGCAAGTGGACTCACGCACCCTCTTCCTCTGGCACACATAAACATACCCTTAATATTTGCTTGAGTATTTAGTATGCTTGATCATTTACCTCTGTGGCTAGTCGGAGGATAAAGATGGGCAGTCCCTCCAAAGGGGGCACATAGTTGTCGATCAGAAGGGGTAATCCATTCAGGTTCCCTTCCTGCATATAGGGAAATGGTCAGAAAGGGGTTAATAAGAATACTGTTACAGTTTAAATGAACTGTATTTCTCTATAGTTCTTCACCAGACCTTGTCCTCAGACTGGTCACTCTGAGAATTTAGGTGTGCAGGTAGGCTGGGCACTGGGGGCAGAAGAGCTAAGCAGTTAAAACAGCTTTGTCCTGATATGCAGCAGAACCACCTTCCTGTTGCAGCTGCTCACTAATCAACGCATACGTCAGGAGTAAAGCCCCAGCGATCCAGGGGTTATGGGAAGAAACTGGAGCAAGTGGCACAATTGTATTTACTGCAGCCTACAAGGGACAGTGAGATGCATCTCACCCTTGTGTCTGTGTCCTTCACCTTGAAAACAAAAGTGGCACGAATGGATGATAGTACAATTCTGTAACCTAGAAATGCAAATGGGGGGTGAGAGGATACCAAAGGTCATGTGCTGCTTCTGGGGGAAGCCTCGTATTCTGGTCCTCATATAGGCTATAACTTGTGGTCTGCATACAGGCATGCTAACTCACATGGAGAGTACAACAGAAGTATATGAATTGCCACCACACCTCATCAATTTCCAAAGAGAAATAGTCTGCCAGCATCTCCGCTTTCTTTTTCAGAAACTCAACAATGTACTCAGCAAGTCCTTCTTTGGGACCATCTTCTTCCGTCCAGCCGCTCTCAGGACTGTCTAAGGCGAGCATGGCAAGGTCAAAGAGTGGTGCTGGCTCCTAGGAAAAAGCAAGACTCTTAAGGAGCAAGCCTTAACAGGCTATCTAAATGAAGCTTGAATTCCCACAAAGTTATTACCAGAATACAGATCACTATCAGAAAAGCAGGTGAAAAACACCACCAAAAGAAATACCCGAACAATCCACAACAAAACCTCTTTCTTGTCAATTAAGATTTCAACAAAAGATGTGGTAAACAAAACTGCAGCTGGGCAATGGCTTGTACCTGTAATCCCAGCTACCTGGGACGCTGAAGCAAAAGGATATCAATTTAGAGGCCAACCAGTTCAACTCAGCAAGACACTGTCTCCAAAAAAACCCAAAATGCAGTGATAGAACATCCCTGGATTTCAACCTCAGTCCCTAAACGCCCCCTCCAAACCAAGAAGAAAGGGTGAACATGGAGATGAACTTCCACATAGGCCTAAAGACGCATGCAGCTTATTTTGATGTTTCTAGGAAACAGGCACATCCTTTCTACTGCCTGAATCATAAAAGCAAGAAAGAATAAGTTCAATGACATTTCAGGTAAATCATAAGACGAAGAAAAATGAAACCTATGGTTAAAATAAGGCAATATATATCTCACTTTTTTCTCCTGATGTTACTTTGTGATACTTCTACATGTTATAAACGTACAGCATGGTGATTTTTTTTTTCATAATGGGATTTAAAGGATAACAGTCTTAAATGTTTGTATACCCAAAAAGAGCTTTATGTTATTTAAAGAAAAAAACTAAGATAACTGCAAAGAGATTCACAATGATAGCTGAGTTTTATATTCTTTTCTCAGAATATCGAAGATTTGAGCATCATTATCAATTTGATACACAACATGGAGCATATAAATTCTCAAGTATACACAATATATAAAACAAGTCTCAAGAGGTATAAAAAGGGCTTCGTGTATGTTTTCTGACCAGAATGGGACTAAATAAAAAATCAGTAATCTTTGGTAAATTCCTAAGACACAAAACTAAATTACAGTTCTCAATAATCTGTAGATATAATAAATGAAAGGCAAATTAGAAAATATTTTGAATTGACTGAAAATGAGACCGAATTTTATGCGATGCTGGTAAAGCAGTACTTAAGGGAAATTTACAGCCCTTAGCACCTATATGATAAAAAAAGGTTTCAAACCAGTGACCTCAGCTTCTAACTTAAGAAATGTAAAGCAGAAGACAAAACCAAAATAAATGAAAAAATAAAGATCAGAGCAGTTATCAACAAAATAGAAAACAAAAACTAAGAGAAAAATTATGAAATAAAAATTCTTTGAGAGAATCAGTAAAATTAGTAAACCTTTTACTAGACTAAGTTAAAGAGACTTAAATTGACACTATTAGAAAACAAAAAAACACAAATCTCTAAGTACTAAAAGAAGAGAAATACTAAAAATTCTCTGCCAATTTAAAAATTTAGCCAGATTGAAAAAAAAAGGCCAGAGCTTACCCAAGAATAAATAAGTATCCCTGAATAGCTCTGTATCTGATGAACTGAATTTGTAGCAAAAACATTCACCTATTAAAATTTCCAGGTCTAGATGACTTCAGTCATAAATCTTCCAAACATTAAAAGAATAAAGACCAATTCTGTACAAACTCTTTGAAAATGGAAAAGGAGAAGATACTTAACAATTCATTAAAACAAGGATAGTCTTATCCTAATACTAAAACCACATGGAGACAATACAAGAAAGCTACATACTAGTAACATTCTTGAACATAGATGCAAATAAAATCTGATAATAGGATACCATATATTGACTAAGCAGTGTTCATTCAAGGGAAAGCAAGATTGGTTTAACATCCAAGTCAGTCCATGTATTATATTCTATATTTTAATAAAAAGACAAATTCTATGATTATCTTAGTAGATATAGAAAAAATCTGAATAAATTCCATACTATTCCTAAATAAAACTTTAAACCAACAAGGAATAGAAAGGAGCTTCCTCACCCTCAAAAGGCATCTATGAAAACACTTAGGTTAACATCATGATCTTAAGATCGGGAACAAAAAATGGATTTCCTTTCTTACCATTTCTATTCAACACTGTATTGATAGTTTTAGCCAGTTCAGTTGAGAAGAAGAAAATCTAACCAGATAGGACAAGAAGAGGCAAAACTTTTCTGCTCAGAAGACATGATTATGTGGAAAAGCTACTAGAATCCATAGAAATGTTACTAAAGCTAGAAAGTTTAGCAAGGTTGCAAGATGTCAATGTACAAAATTCTTGTGTATGTCTATATAAGCAATAAAAATGGGAAACATTGTTTACCATTTACAATAGCATAAAGTATGTGAAATACTAAGGAATTAATCTAACAGTTTTTCTCCTCAAATTGATCTACAGTTTCAATACAATCCAAACTTAAAATTCTAGTAGAGTATATCAAGTAAAATTCTAAAGATAGGTAGTATGATTTTTTACTCTGAATTTAAAATAAGCACTGAAAAGTCTTGAAACAAATGGAGCAAAACTAAGAAAGTTAGTTTTTCTCCACTTAGGGGAACAGAGATGTAGCTCAATAGCAGAGTGGCCTGCTGGCCATGTATAAGGTGCTGGGTTTGATTTCTAGTATCATAAAAATAAATACTAGCATTTGTTTAAGCTGGCTACCAAATGACTATTTTGCTAAAAGACACAAAACTTTATTGAAATTAGAAAACCCCAAATACAAAATACACAGTACTGAAACTCTTAAGCAGCATATTTAAGAAAAGTTAATGTAAGATACTACAGCACTCCTCTTTTCAGAAGTGACCAGTTAAAAGTTTCAGAAGTGAGGAGACAATCTACTTACCGATAGCCTCAAAACACCAAAATTGGCAAAGTCGTAAATGAGCACCTGGTAGAACAATTCTTCACTGAAAATTTAGGAAAGAAAAAAAAAAAATGACTTTAAGAAAAAGCCGAACCCATACTTGAGACCCAACCAAATAAGGATAAATAGGAGAAGTAACCCCTGAAACACAAATGGGCCGAACAGAAGATTCTGCCTTGCTGTGGAACCTAATTAACAGTCTAAGATCTCTTATTCTTCTAGAGACCTGGAATTCCCAACATGTTTTCCAGACAAGGATATGGAGGGCCAGCTTCCAAAGACAGGTGTGAACAAAGTCTGGCTTGTCCCCACTTTGCTGCTGCTGTAAAAGGTTTTCAATAGCCTACAGTGAAACTTTCACCATTATTTTGTTTGCTTACCATTTCCCCACTTAAACCTGTAAATCACTTTTCCCCAGAGTTTAGAATGCTTACACAGATATGTTATCGTGGGGATAGGGTCCATGTTATGGATTAAAAACTGGTGGTCGATTTAAAACCAGCTGAATTAAATCAGCATGGTGCTGAGTGTAGATGTTCCACATGAGGAAAGCTGCCAGCATAAACAGAGATGTGGAGAAGAGTGAGGCATTGTGAGTTCTCCTAAGTGTTGATGTTTTGAGCCGTTGATTCTCCTGGAGGAGCTTGTCATGGCTAGCTTCTCCAGTGTGAATTCAACCACTGTCATCGGAGGAGCTCAGGACCTTGTTGGTGAGTGGCTGTGTTTCACTTTGGGGGAGCTCTGGTCCTTACATCAAGCATCACTTCCTGGCTCCAGAAGGGAAGAGGTGTGCCCCTTAATCTCCAGGAGAAACTTGTCATGTTGGCTTTCTGGCATGTACTTGACTGTTCTTATCGACAGAGGAGTTTGGGACCTCTGTGTTGCTGAGGATGGCTGTGGTGCTTTTCAGAGCAGCCCTGATTCTTATTTTGAGCATGACTTCTTGGCTCCAGTGTAGAACCTCAACCTACCAGCACAGCTCCTTCACCCTGCTGGCACAGACTTTCTAGCTTCCACCACTAACCTTTGGACCTTCCCAATGTGGACTGGTGAAATAGACTGGCATGAGTCCTTCTCATGCTCTAGACCTCCAGTTGGACTTGTGGGAGGCACTGTCAATGAGCTCTGGGTCTTCATCTGGATTCATGCAGGACATTGCTATGGGTTCTAGGCTTCTGGCTTCAAATTCTGAGTCTTTAATGTTATGGATAGATTTCCTGCACTTTCTGTGTTTAACTCTGGGTGACCATCATAAATAATATTATAAATTCTGTGTCCTGATTGTAATTGTTCTCCTTACAACCCTTGACTACAATATCCCATGTCTAAACAAGAAATACACTTATATATTACATAAACTTTAGATACAGAACTTGAAGATAGTTTTACATTACATAATAATTTTAAAAATCTTATGCATGAAACAAAGTTTCATGGTGTGAAATTTTCCACTGTAGCATTATGATGGTATTCAGAAACTTCCAGATTTTGGAGAACTTTGAATTTAAGATTAGGGATGCTCAACCTATAGCTACAATACTGAGAATGGCCTGGATTTGTATCTGTGAGGTGAAAACCTGAACGCAATGATTTAGAACCCTGGAAGTTATGCATTTAGATATTCTGGAAAAGAAAAGGCAACAATGGAACTCATAAAGAGGTACACCAAAAGGGTTTCCAGCCTCAGTAGAGGGGATTGTGAGTACCCAAAGAGGTATGTGAGGCAATGATAAGCTTTAGGTTTTGATCTAATGTGCCAAGTCCAAGTAATGTATAGCGGCTGCCACACTCACAAGGCCAAGAACTCTGAGGCCACAGCAGGACTTGGAGGGAAAGAGATACACAGTAGATAAGTGATGTCAAGTATATACAAGGTGGCAGAATCTGTATCTATTAATTATTTGAGAACATATTTGATATAGCTTCTGTACTAAATAGGAGCTGATCTACCACGGTTGCTGGAAACAACAGAAATATTACCACTTATGAATGAGGTATATGGTTTGGTAGGGTCGCCCTTTATGTACTAATCAGCCTTACTGGCTTGTCTGGTGGTTACAGTAAGCCTACGGTACACTCCCAAAACTAGGAGGTATCAGATTTTCTTGGCTCCCTCATACTACTTACTGCACAAAGCAGATAGGATTCTCTACCTTACCAAGGCTTCAACATCTGGACACAGCCAACATTTAACTGAGTTACTTAGGTTATTTTTTATTTTTACTTTTTTTATTTTAAAGAGAATAAAACAAAACAAAACAAAGCAGATCAGAACAATGCAAGCAACACAGGACTTCAAAACAACACAAGAAATCAACACTGGCTACCATAATGTCTCTTGTTTTCTTCAAAACAGTTGTCCATATCTTCACACACAGTGAATTCAGACAAAACAGAATAGTATAAAACTGATCAAAACAAAAGAGTGAAAGCATTATGGGCCTTCAAAACCAGACATAGGAAAATCAACAATGGCTGCCATAATGTCTCTTGTTATCCTCAAAAGAGTTGTTTATATCTTAGTTTATTTCTTAATCTTTAAAAAAAACCCAAAACAAAACAAAAAACAAAAAACCCCTACAAGTTTTAAGTAGTAAGAACCTAAGTTACAGTGGAGAAATCTGAGGAAAATAACTTCCTCATAGTTACGTAAGTGGAAAATGGTCAAGCTTGATTTTGAAATCTCATCTGTCTGATTCTCAAGCCTGTGCCCTTACAGCTACTTCCTGTTGCTTTCCCAGCTTCCTGTGCCCTGTACCTTTCTTCTAGCAGAGCAGTAGTGAACCTTAGAGTTTTCAATACATACAAACAGCTCACTGTGGCATGTGTGCCACAGGTTTGCCACCACTATTCTAGCTTAATGGGTTTTCTTTTCATGTACGCACTGATTTACCTGAGCTTGGTGGTGTTCAGAAGGTATAACTTGGTCTGATGCTGTGCCAAGGCCCACTGAGGATTCACACAGCCCACAAAGGAGTGGTTTTGGAACATCTCCCGGAGAGCTAGAAAGCAAAATCAAAACAGAAACTGGCTAAGTATTGGAACTCTGCCAACACTGCTTCATCCTCTAGTTCCAAGCACCAGCACTGCGCACCCGACAGCAAAGGTGCTAAGCTGAGTCTCCTACTGAAGACAAACCAAAGGCAGAACACATAACTGTTTAAAATGCGACAAAAAGTTCTAAAATATTACGGAATATACAAGATAAAAATTAACGATCCAACAGGAACCTAGAGAGCTCTGAAGCTATGTTTATTTAAAATTAGAGGAATCTCAGGAGCTATGAACTTTAGTCTTTGTAAGTTTTGTTTGTGTGCAAAAAGACAAATCCTAAAAATGGACTGAAATGGGGAGTCTAACAGAAGACACTGCCCCATGTGTAAAGTTAAGACCCCAAGGCTACACCTTGGGTGAAAAGAAAAACTGTATGATGCTCCATGCCCACTCTACCTCAAAATGCAAAAATGCCACCCCAAAGTTTGATGTTGCTAGATAGTACAGGAAAAAAACTTCCAACAGTGTGTAATCATGAACTGGTCCTAAACTGGTTTTCTCATGGTTTTGCAGGCAGTATTTATGCCAGATAGATTGCTTGCAAACCTTAAGTAGACATTTCAGTTTAAAATGATACCAGGGCTGGTCGTTTTTCCATATCCCTGTTGGAATCAAATACAAATTAATCCTGTAGAAATCCATCTTCAATCCAGATAAAGTATCAGAAACTAGGAGATCTGCAAAGCCTTGAGCTTAGAAATATCAATAAAGAATAAGTTAAATAAGTACGGTCATGTTCAAGAGGTGTTAAATCTATGAGTAAGCAGCAGGACACTTTGAAAAAAGATCAAGATTTTCAAAAGAACCATGTAAAAACTGTAAAAATGAATTTAGTAACTATAATTTAAAATCAAGATGGACAGAACTCATTAGGCAGTGCTGACAAGGCAACGAAATGGTAGGTGACTCTGAAGAAGTCATCTAAAACACAGAGAAGCAAAGAGAAAACTTTTAAAAAGAGCTTCTGGAAAGTAACAGGGAGGATAATACACATCTCTTAGGTTCCAGAAGGGATGGAGAAGAGAGGCTAATATTTGAAGACTTTGAAGACAAAATATTTGAGAATATACCAGAAGTGATGAAAAATGTCAAATCATAGTTCTGTAAGACACAACAGAACCTATACTTGGTACAGCAGGATATTAAGAAAAGATATCTTAAAATCACTCAGAAAACACAGATCATGCCCTAAGTACTAAATAAGATTGATGGCTACATTTTCAACTAAATAGGAGAAATCAGGAAAAAAAATAAAAATACCTTCAATGCTCTAAGGAAAAACAATTGCTGCTCTGAAATTCTAAATTCAACAATTTTCAAATAAGGGTGAGTTATAGTATAAAGGCAAACGCAATTGGCCACTGCTACAATCTAAATGTCTGTGTCTTTCCAAAATGTGTGCTGAAATCTTAATCCCCAAAGTGACAGTATTAATTGGGGAAGTGACTGGGTACATCTTCGCGACTGGGATTAGTGCCCTGATGTAGAAAAGAGATCCAGGAAGCCTGTTGCATTATGTAAGAGCACAGCTAGAAGATACTGAGAGGAAGTATGCCCTTACCATATAATGAATCTCTCAACAAGTCAATCTCAGACACCTCAGCCTCTGGAATTGTAAGAATTTCTATTGCTTAATGAGCCATCCAGTCTATGGTAATTTATTAAAGCAGTCTGAGTCACCAAAGACCCCACGAAAGGATTTGCTTTAGGCAGAGAACAACTGAGTACGTATGACTGATAAAAATAAACTGAGAACTATAATGCAGAATAGTTAGATGATCAAGTAGAAACTGAATCCAACACCATACCCAAACCAACTCCATATGGCTGAGAAACTCAAGTGTAAGCTTTTCAGAAGGCACTATAAGAGCGTATCTTTCCCTATATCACACATACCCATCCACCCCCACTTACAGCGTATCTTTAATTATCACAGACTTAGGAGAACTTCCTACGATTAAAATAAGAAGCCACATCGGCTGGCAAGTGCTTTACCACTGAGCTACACCCATGTCATTATTTTTAATGAAAGAAGTAAACATACCACCCACCCAAAAGGAAGTGAGGGTGGAAGAGGAAGTGGAGACATCGGGAAGAAAGGAGGCATGGCAAGGGGCCTGTGCACCATGTTCTTCTGTATCTGTTCTTTAATCCTGTGGGTACCACAAGTAAATTCTCATACTATTACATATGTAAGAAGAGGCTGATTTTCTTCATTTTTAGTGTAAGTGTTCCCCTCTGTTCCCACTGGAAATGGAATGTCTCTACAGGATGTTCTGTGTACATAGAAAATGATTATTTTAAAAGATGGAGAACATCAAATAATCTTGAATAATGAGGCGCTGGAGGAAAGAGCATTGTAATCCACTAAAAACTTCTGGGTCAGAGATTTTTCTGAGCAGATGTTCATGGCCTCCTCTGATGCACCCACAGCTAGTGGAGTACAGTCCTGCCAGCAGGGAAGGGTAGGGGTGGGGTGGGGTGAGGGGCAGATGAGCATCTAACTACCCAGCACAGGGCTCTTCTTCACTGGGCTTCCTCATGCCTCTTACTAGGACATAAAGTAACTGTATTTCATTCGTATCCTAATGTCCCCAGAGCCCTAGAAATCTGTACACACTCCTGTCAGAAGCAGAATGAGTCAGAATCCTTCAGTGTTTCAAAGCCAGATCATGCATCTGACTTCACAACAGAAGCCCTGGGTCTCCGCATGTTGCTCTCAGAAGAGTAAGTAAAGCCAAACTGAAGGAAGGACCCAGTCCTCTGGTTCCCTCATGACTATGTGCATGGTAGAAGCACTCTGGCTGGAGGGATCAGAATCACATGATATGCTTGTCCTGCATAGGCCAGTGATCTGATTTTGCACTTAAATACTGGGTGACATTTTCTATGTGAAGTCTATTGCCAGTGACAACCAAACGCGTGTGTACACACACACACACACACACACACACACACACACACACACGGTTTTGTTGGCCTCAAACTCCTAGACTTGAGAGATCCTTCTATCTCGGCCTCCTGACTACAGGTGTTATACCACAGTGCCTGGCTCTGGGTCACTTTTGGATGGTTTGGATGGTTCAGATAATCTATCTCTTCGCATTCCATTTCCTCATCTAAACAGAAGAAAACAGCACGTACTCTCTCTCTCTCACAAGACTAAGAGAAAGAAATGAGACAACATGTAATCATTTTAGTTTTAGCAAGGCCCTAAACCCGATAGCGCTTGGTATATATATGTGTGAATGTGTGTGTGTAGAAAACTACTGTGAAGGGGACTGCTAAAAAGCCAAGGAATAAAAACAAAAAACAAAAACAACAAAACCCCAAGGAATAGCTCACTTTTCTTATATTATTTAAATTTAAAAGTGCTTCCAATACTCCCAATTTGAAACTTAATACTGGAGAAAGAGAGCTAATATAACAAGTCTTTATGGAAATAATCAGAAGCCAACTGGTATCTATTTCTTAAACTGGCAAAAACTCAGTCACAGAAGTTTTTACCCTGCTCAAATGTAAAGAGAAACCCTTTATATGTCTTTTTCCTAGAGTGATAAGAGAAGACAATGAACAAGGAAAGACAGAATGAGGCTTTTCCAGCAAGTGGAGACTGAGACAGAAATAACACTTACGAGGCCACTGAGTCAGAGCAGCTGTTTCAAAAGTTAAGGATTAGTGAGGAAGGTATTGTTCCCTCACTACTCCTTCTGCTCCCTTTTCATAATGAATCCAGACAATTGTATTTTAAGACACAGTTTATAATTTATTGTTGAAATCTATTTCAATCAAGAAATGCAGGTTGGATGTGACTGCATATGAGTATATCCTCAGCACCTGGGAGGCTGAGGAAGAAAGAGGGCCATAAGTTGGAGGCCAGCCTGCAGTACAAAGAAAGACCCTGTCTCAAAAGGATAAAAAAATTTTTAAAAAGAAGGAAGGAAGGAAGAAAAATAGGTATGTTATAACAGATATAACTGGGAGGTCATAGCTAAATCATGTAGACTCAGTGCAGAACTGTCATCAAGTAGCCCAAAAAGTTATTTTGTCTTAGGATAAAAATCATCTACATTCTATATTCTGATTCTATATTCTGTAACTAGTGTTTTATTTATATTTGATCTTTAATGGTCTTCCAGAATAAAATTAATCTCATTTTATAGATGAGGAAAAACTGAAGCACAGAAAAGTTCAGTCACAAGAGTAAGATCATACAGTAGAAGTGGTGGTGGCAGGAACGGGAAAGCCTGTGAACTTTCAGCAGCAAAGCAGCCCATTCAGTCCACAGGTGAAGAGTGCTGATCATTAAAATGCTAAAACAAACTGGAAATCACTGACATGGCTGCCTTACTCTGACTCCAATAAGAATGCCAATTAATTCTAATTAAAACAAAATGTTTCCTCCCTTCTCTTCTTCTTGCAATTGTTTTAAGCTGCTGATACTATGGGAAGAGAGGCTGGCCTAGCACACTGTGGTGGTCGCCCTGAGAACATGAACGCTTTCTGCAGCTCCAAAACCTTTAACGCCAGTAGTTCAGGCCCTCAGAGCTTTAGGCACACCTTAGCACTTACGTACTCTCATGTCCCCGCTCACTGATTTCTTCCTGGAGACTCAGGACACTTGTAAGGTTAATGATCCTTCTCCGAGGGATACAGGCTGCTGTCATTTCCTTCTGGGAACCACTTTCTATCATTTCCACATCAGAATCTTCCCGATGTCTCTTTCTGCAATGAAGGAAAGAAACCAGCAGATTATTATCCTCCCTTTTAATTTTTTACCTCAGCCAAGTTTGGTGGCAGTTCCTACACAGCTACAGCTCACACTGGTAGCAGGCCAGGAGGGTATCTATCCTCCAGCATGCTGCTTATCTGACTAACCTCAGATTCCAGCAGCTGGCCACATGGCTGTGCATAACCAAGTTGTGGAGTCTGATTTGGCCCATAGAGTTGCAGGGCCTTAAGCAAGTGAACTGATTTTCATCCCCGCTTCCTTCTTCCCTCCATTCTTTCATCTGCCAATCGATCAGCTCTCTGAGGTACCAACTACGTACAGTGATAAAAAAGCTGCCTGCCCTCATGATGCTTATTTTGTAATGGAAGGGTGAAAAAAGAAACAGGAGAGGGGCTGGTACCGATAAAAACGAAAAAAAAAAAAGACAAAAAAAAAAAATTAAAAAGAAACAGGAGAAAAAAGGATAGTTTTTAGTAGTGATTGGTGTTAAGATAATAAAATAATTAATAGATGATAGGGCCGGGGATATAGCTCAGTGCCTGCCTGGCAACTGTGAAGCCATGAATTTGATTGCCAGTTTAAAAAAAAAAAAAGATGGGGCAGTGAGAGGAGAAAGTGATCATAAATGGACAAAGAAGACCTCTGGCAAGGGTGACCCTTGAATCCTGAGTTACAGAAAGCCAGAGCCTTCCAAAGGTGGAGGAACAGCAAGGGCAACCAGAGGGTAAGTTCAGATCAGCCATAAGAGCCACAGGACTGGAGCGCCGTGAAGAGGGAGCAAATTCCCAGTCCAGAGGGAAGGCAGGCCCAGGGACGTACATTACCTCTAATGCTGAAGGGGAGGCTACTGGAAGGTTCCAGCAGGAGTGAGGTGAGCTGACCTCTGCTTTAAAAAAAGTTCTTCAAAGCCAGGTATGGTGATGCACACCTATAATCCCAACATTTGGGAGCTGAGGCAGGAGGATCACTGTGAGTTTAAGACCGCCCTAGGCCACAGTATGAGCTCAAGGCCAGCCTGTACTACATACAAAGACCTTGTTAAAAAAAAAAAAAAAAAAAAAAATCTGTCTATCTATCTTAGACTGTGGTGTGGTTAAAAAAAAAAAAAAAAATCACTTTATTCCCCAAGGGATAAACAAATGAAATGCTTCTTTTCCAAGTTTTTAAGAGCCTTCAATGAGATATGGTATATATCTGACATACAACAGTTGCTCAAAAAAACACCAACACATTTTATTATTCTCTGGGAAAAACTCTTAGAATCTGTCTTGCTAGGATGACTCAAACATGAGCCAGTTGAAGAAAACCATCCAAGTTCCAATGGCCACTTAGTGCAAGTACTTCTGGTGATCAGTCACTAAGCACACACATACCCTTACGCAAATAATTTCACCTTGAGCTCCAAGTTCGCAGGTGTACACATTAAATCAGAACCAGCAAGTTAATGTCCTTAGAGAACCCGCAGAGCTTCCGCTGGAAATGTTCAAAACTAAGTGAGTCTTCACTCTCATCAGTGCTGCTCGCTGCTCCTTTTCTTTCATCACTAGCTCAATTCGAGGGGCTTTATTCACTAGATTCACAAAGTACGCTTCTTTTGAAAGGGGTGATAACAGCTTTGGGAGAATGAAAGATCTATTTTAAGCTTCTCCCGCTAGCCACTTGTAGGATTGAGATTTTCTCAAATGTTTCACTAAAAACAAAGGATACATCTTCAGCTGTTTTTCTGATGTATTTTAAACTAATATTTAGAACCTAAGACATTGAAGGTTATTTCAGAGGATGCTGTGGTGGTAGCTTTCAAGCCATGGTCAAAAGCAGACAGTGGACAGGGCCACAGCACTATCCCAGTGGAGGCAGAAGGTAAGTCAAGCAACAGAAGATGCAAGCGGTTCATGAAAAGCCAGTGAGGAGAGTTTTAACTCCAGCATAAGGAAGGAAAGCTGCACCCTCCCCAAAAGGGCATACCTGGGATTGCCTGGGCTGGAAGCAGGTGCTCTCTTTTCTGTAGTTTCAAAAGCACCCTTGTTTGTATCTCCTTCCACGTTCTGACTCTTGGTGGCTGCCACCTCAGGGGCTGGGATTTGAAGCATCTCCTCATCCTGCTGCCCAGCACTGCAACTAGAACCATGTACCTTAGCCCCTGGGTCATGGGCCTGGGGCTGACTGGGCAGGGCCTTGCTCATGGGCTGCAGAAAGGCATCAAGCTTCTGATCTCGAGAATCTGTACGAACCATCTGGTAAGCATAGACCTTGTCACCGTTTCCAGAAGCAGATGAGGAGGTCATACCTGGTGTAGATTTAACTACCTCCCCAGAGGAACTAGCAAGTCCTGGTAGCAAAGTCTGTATCAAAAAGACAATGGCAAGACTCAGAATGTGAAGGATAGAAGTCCAGGGCCCAAAATGGAGCTGTACTAGACAAAGAACTGTACATAATCATCATTACAGAATTATTATGGAAGCAATTTAGACCAAAATTTGAAGGAACAGCAAATAAAAGCTTTGTAAGTATTAAATTCACTAAGCAAAGTCCTAATCTTAAAAAGTTTAAAATGTAAATGTCCAAGTAAAGTCTCCATACTTTTGTCTATTTCTTTTGCTATGAGGGGGTTTTATTTTTCTATTATAGTAAAATACATGTAACATAAATGTTACCATTTTAGCTAATTTAAAGCTAGAGTTCAATGGCATTTAGTATATTCAATTATGCCCATTATATTTCTTCAGAACTTTTTCATTCTCCAAAAGTTAAGCTCGGTATTTATCGAATAATAACCTCCAATTTTCTTTCTACCCATCCTGGACAACTACCATTCTGCTGTCTACATTTTAAATATACATGTTCAAACTCTGTCAACTGGAGTAATCACCCAAAAGCAGTAATGACCCCAGATTCCAGACTGTAGCCATCAGTCCCCCCCGGAGCAATTTGGAGAACCAGCCAACCCAGAGCACGGGATAGAAAAGTAAATCCTATCAGAAGCACAGGAATTATAAAAAAAATAGTACAATTGGCTTGAAAGATGAAGGTGCCAATGGAAATGAGCTTCCAATGGACAAGGATGGACACGTGAGCACTGTGTTAGTCACCTTTTTTCACTGTGACAAAATCTCTGAGATAAATACTTTAAAGAAGAAAGAGGTTTATTTTGGCTCACAGTTTCGAGCTTGGAGTCCATATGTGTTTGGTTTCATTGCTGTGCGCTTAGCCAAGGCAGAATGGTATAACAAAAGGCCACAGTAGAATAGAGCTGCTTACTTCACAGTGACAGGAATTGGAGAGAAAGAGAGGAACTAAGCCTCTATCAGTCCACTCCCTTCAACAATGGTCCACTTCCTGTGTCCATCGCCTCCCAGAATATTATCTGGTCATGATCTTATCAGTGGATAGTTAGGAGTTCTTCATGATTCAATCCTTTCCCAAAAGCCAGCCAGCAACTAAGCCTTCAACACAAGGAGCTTTTTGGGAAACATTATGAATCCCAACCACATCAAACAACAATATGAAAAATAATCAGAAGGAATAAAGTAGTCTGCTTTGTTAATAGGTTAAAAAAAAAATACTGAGAAACAGAAAAAGGGAGGAGAGAAAAGTAGGGAGAGGGAAAAATCAATAAATACTTTGTAAATTGCTAGGACATCAACTCAGACCTTTGAAAACTGGCAAATAAAAAAGAAAAAAATTCAGCATTTGTCTATTGGGAACTATATATCACAATAAACAGCTCTAACACATGAAATAGAGTTCTATACAGAAGAATGATCATCAATACAGAAAAAAATGCGAAAGCTATAAATTTGCAATCTACTGAAAACTGATTCAGTTACTGGTAATGACTGGTAAAACCATTAGCTTAGATGTTGATGGGCAACTTAATGATGGAATCAGCATGTTGCCAGTGATGAATCACATCCCAAAATGACGTAACAGGTCATTATGCACTTCCCGCTGGAATGTGATAGGAAGAAAAGAGCATCACCTATCAAGAATCCTTGCCAAGGGTTTTTTTCCTACTCCCTACCCTCAGGCTACAACTTCCAAACTTCACAGGGATGTGAAAGACACTGCCTGGGGCAAAAAAAAAAAAAATTAACTCCCCAGTTTTCCTAACCCAAGAAAATCCATTAAACTCTGAAGACCACAGTGATGGAAGTGAAATCTTACTTTAAGCTTTCTCTTAGGAGGTGGCATACTGTTATAGTTTGGATCTGAAATGCTCATGTGTTGAAGACTTGGTCTCCAAAGCAGCAGTGTTGAGAGGTCAGGCCTTTGGAAAGTGACTGGGTCATGAGGGATCTCAACTCACTAATGGATTTATTGATTGATGGATTTATAAAATTGATGGATTTTCTTTGGTTCCCAGCCATGAAGTTCTGCATTACTGCACAGAGATGGAGCCAAGTGACCAAAGACAGAAAACTCTGAAACTGTCAGTCAAAACAGACCTTTCCTGTTTTTAAATTGTTTCTCTTAAGTATTTTGTCATAGTGACAGAAAGCTAACAGAAAAAGTCAAGAGGGGATGCTAAACATACTTTCTTTTGGAATAGTTCATAATTGAAATATAAGAGTGGAGGGATAAGGACCATGTATATACGAAAGGGTGTTCTGACCCAAACACTCTGTCTTATGGGCCTAGGATTATTATTCCTACTGCACGTTCTGCTGTAGACACAGGGTTTTACCACTCACCACCCCCCATCTGCTTCTTCAGTCCCACTTCACAGATCTGCAGCAGCAGCCTCACTGAGTGATTTTGTGTGCCTTCCTTACTACTCGAAAAAAGGAAAGAGAGTCATTTTCTTTTTCTTCACTGGGTTTTTTCAATTTTTCTTTATTTGGTTCTTTTTTTTTTTTTTTCTTTTTTACTTTAAGTCTATTAATTTCCTCTTATAGTTTAATACAACCTGGTACTTCACTTTTCTCTCCTCCTTTTCATCTTCCACTATTTTTCAAATTTTACTTCAGTCTCACATTCCTTACCCCCTCTATCCTTACAGTATAACTACTAAACTTTACTAATCTGTAGTTAACTATGTTATTACTGCTGAATTCTATTGTTAGCAGAGGTACAGTTGTTGTGTTTAGTTTATATTCACTGTATGTCAATATTTGGTTGTCTTAAGATGAACAGTGCTAAGTCCTGGACTAAATACTTTTGGTCTACTGTCCACCTATTTGTAACTGTCCTTAAATATGGGGTGATAAGTTCCAAATTTATGGAGGGAGACTCAGAGACCAGGTGAGTGTAGGGATAGGGCTGGTTTACTCAGGTCTGTCTGACACGGAAGCCTCTGCTCTTCTCCTGGGGCCTGGACCTTACACTCTTCCCTGTGTGTAGGTGGGATGGGTCTCCTCCTGGACATTCCTATTAAAATGAAGGCATTAAAAATGCTGCCATTCTGTATTCAGATAGCTTGTTTTCCTAAGAAGCAAGCAAGGTCCCAGATGGAGGGAGTAAGGAAGATGACTCAGGCCTTATGCAGAGTCCAGGACAATGATACTTTCACAATTAGGCTCAAAGAAGTAAATGTTGCTGAAAAAACTATCAAAATAATATTTACAAAGAAAGCTGTAAAGCACAAGGCAAGACTCTGGACTCTCACCTCTAACAAGCCATATTTCAAAGTGGCAAAGGTACCACAGAGCCAACTGGGAGATACGCCCTACCTGAGTGAAGTACATCCTGGAAGAGTTGGCACCCAAGAGCTTGCTCTCAATGTGCTGCTGCACCCGCTCCAAGATGCTCTCCTCATGTAGAAAGTGAACCTCATGTTTTGTAGGGTGCACATTGACATCCACATTCTGAGGGCTGATTTCTAAACTGGCAGGGAAAAAAAGAGCGAGAGAGCACAATTACCTGAGGTTATGGAGGATGGGTGTGGGGGGATCCACAACATGGTATATGTTGTGGCCAAGATGATTTCTGGAGTCCAAGTGGCAGTGGTCAAAACCTTAAGCTTGAGTCTTAGTGGCTGTTCAAATGCTGACTCTGACACCTAAGAACCTTAGTTTTTAAGTTATATCATCTTTCTTTGCTTATTTCCTCATTTGTAAGGTGAGCATAACAGCATTAGCTATCTCATAGGCTTATGGTGGGGATTAAATTCATAAAAATAAATTTGCATGTACCTGCCACATTTATTTTATGATGCTATTAATAACATTCTTGAACTAGTGGAATTTCTTATATGTGAACTCAGGCAACTTACTTAACTTCTTTGGATGTTTTCTCATCTGTGAAAACAAGATAAACATTAATCTGCCCCTTACTTACTTTTTAGTATTATGAGGATCAAAATAAGAACAGATGGAAGTGAACTTTCTATTATTAAGATGTAATAAATAGTTGAGACTGTATCAATTATTAATTTATGCCCTCCACCCAAATCTATTCTTCATTGCTTATTCTGCTTATGAAGTTTTGTAATGTGAAGTTTCTTCAGTACAGCGTGATGGAAGGACAACAGAGGAAGAAGAGGATTTTGTGTCAATCTTGGGTACACAGGATCCTTTCTGGTGGGCAGTTCTCCACAGAAACCCCTCAGAGCAGTACCTGGGAATTAACTTATTGACTTCTCCTCCATGCAGTGACCTACAGCTACATCCTCTTCAACAACATTCATTTCAGCCCAGAAGGGGCTGGGGGAGGGGACAGAGGGACTTTATCTTAGCCATAGGGGTAATGGCTGTTCCCTATACTTGTATACCCTATCATTTACCATCCAAATCTCCTTTTACTCTAATCCCATTGGTAGTTCTTTCATTAATTTTTTTTTCAAATCTTATGTGGTTTGTGTCTTCTATTTAGACCCTGAAAATATGGAGATGAAACAAGGTGTTAACTCGATCTAGTAAAGGAATGCACGTGGGAGTTAACAAATCTCCATTTAAACTAAAATCTTCTTTTAACTATATTTTACTCCTCTCCTGCAAGTGCTAATTTGATTGTTAAATTATTTAAGTGAACCCTCGTCAATCAAAAATAGTTACGCTATGTAAAGAATCTCCATAAAGCAAAAGTTTCACTCATCAAAGGGAAACTGTAGCTGTTTCAGTTCTCAGACAGACCCAGTAGAAGGACTGCTCAGAGCTTCCTGTGCACGTGTCTACTCCGTGTACAAGTTGTCCATCCCTTCCTGCAAGGGTTAGACACATTATTCACTTCCTTGTCACCAACACAGCAAAGGCTCCTTTTGAGGTTCTGCTAAGTTAGTGAATAAATGACAAAACAACTGCTTTTTACCTGTCAACAGGAACAGAACATCCCTTTGGTAATATATGATTCACTAATTTTGGTACTCAGCTACTAGCAAGCCCTTCTTTTTCAGAGGAGATCAAGGCAGAATTTCCATTCTTTTAAGACTTGGGTAAGGAGACTGATGCTACATTACCTGAGGTATAGGAACGGGTGTGTGTTTTTGGGCAAATATGCTGCATACACCATTTCTATGGCTTTTCTCAATGAGGTTGATTCTACCAGACGATCTAAAACATGAAAAGAAAGTAAACAGATAAAAACTGTCCTTAGGGGTGAGGTCATAAGTACGACCTTATGAAGCCACTAAATTGCTGCAAGAAGAGTGCCTCCAGAGTGATGCACATAGCAGACGCTCATAAACAAAGGTCCCTTTAAGTATTACCACTTTCTAGCATCTCACTATGGTGTTCAAAGTGCCCCTTTCATCAAGTAGCAGAAAAGACAAAAGGGTAATAAATTCTGCCTCTCTTAGCTTTCCCCTCCCTCAGGCTACACTGCAGTCTCAGATTTTTCATTTGGTAAAGACATGTCAGTTATTTATCACACGAGCCAAGTGCTGGGAGACTCTATGCTGCCAAACTCAAATGGTAACCACTGCTACAGAGATGTGTGTGCTAAATGGTGCGATGAGAGCACAGATAACTCTGCTCAGAGAGTTCCACCAGTGGGGTATTCACGCTGGGCCAGAAGAGGGAGAGTGAGTTTTCCTTAAATTTCAGGCAGTGCAAGGGACTGAATGTGTATTTAAGGAAATTTAGCATCCGATTCAGGTTTGAAAGGGTAGGAAACAATAAAGACTGGGAGAAGTAAGACTAAAAGCAGAGGAAGATTTATTTTCAGAAAACAGTTCTCTTTTGGCTCTAGACAGATTTTAGATGACTGGCTGATCATCTGTTGTCTCCTGTACAATTGTTAACCAAGGATGTATCACATCCTTGTACTTTCAACATTGAGAGTGGCTGTGATCTTACTGATGAGGAGACTATCATTCTCAGTGCTCACTACTTTCACAGCCCCTTCAGTAATATATGTGTACTTGTAACATGTGCAAACCACACAGGCCTGAAGCCCGTGTGGGCACTGACAAAAGGACAGAGCCACTCTGCTGAGACCTCTGAGCTTGAGCAGGATAAAGGAATATTCCTTGTCTCTGCAACCCAGGTTGCAGTGAGTAGGTAGCTAATGGGCAGGTATGCATAACAATCTGGCCTCTCTTCGTGACTAGAAACTTGACACTGTGAACAGATAAGCCAATGTTAATACAAAGGCTGGTATAAGCAGCCCCCACAAAAACAGCTACAGGATAGTCAGATGGCATTAAACTGATTTTTCACTTGCCTACTTTGTTCCCAAAATTTGTTGTAAAGCTATTATTCTTCCTGGTTAGGAAAAACTAATGTAAAACATTTTCTGAGCAGTCTATGTAACAAGTTTTGCTATGTATGTATCAGGTTGAAGCCCTTCTAATATAGCAGGAAAAAAACTCTGCTAATATAAAGGATTTCACAGAATCTCTCTATAAGATGATTCTCTCTTCATTCTTCCTGTATTGTTTTGAGTAAATGCTACAAAATATGCATAACTAAATATTTATGACTGATTAACTGCTAAAACTGGGAAAGGGAAACAAATCAAAAGTTATTATGACATCCTTTAAAACAAGAAAGATAAAGATACTGTGAGATTAAAAAAAAATAAGCATGAAAACTGAAGATATGGAGAGATACATCTTACTTCTGTATGGTAAATGGAAAATTAAGGCAAATTTTATGTAGAATTATTTGTTGCTACTCTCACTATCAAAACCCTACACATATATAATTAAGTTCTAAAGACAAATGCAAAATAAAATGCACTTAGTAAGATCAGACAAATGGTATGTCAGCAGGGAGATATGTACTGGAAACAAATATGAGAAAAATATAAACTCATTTAATTAACTGCCTCCCTGAAACTGTTCTTCAGGTCATAAATTTCATTCTCTATAAAGAAAAATCTTAGCTAGGTATGGTGGTGCATGCCTACAATTCCAGCATTCTGGGCAAGCTGAGGCAGAAGGATGACAAGTTTGAGGCCAGCCTAGGCAATTTAGTAATTTATAAGCCCCTGTGCAAAATAAAAATTATTCAAAAAGAGCTGGAGCTGTGGGGATGTATTTCACTGTAGACCCTGAATTAAATTCAAATTTAGTTTAAAAAAAAAAAAGTGAAGGGGAAGGAAAGGCAAATTTTAAGGATGTTGGCATTCAATTTTTCCTTGAATGACAATGTCTTTACCCAAAGGCCATTCTCTCTGTTTTGCTGTGCTAGGAAAGCTCTGCTTAAAAAGTACTTAAGTCTCTTCATTCCAGCAGATAAGAAAGGTGCACTGGTTCACAGGACAAAGATTAGAGATTCTGCCTAATCAAACTACACTTCGGCATGAAATTCCAGGGTTCCTTAAAATTCTCTGTGATTACACTCCCGTTTAGTTCTTTTTCACTTACGGTTGATGAAGAGTAAGAAAATGCACTTCTTCACCGAGTAGTTTGCATTAGATATGTAGCCATTCATTTTGAAAGCCAGGGTTTTATCCTCACATCCAACTTCTATCAATTCTCTAGTTAAAAAGACAGTAACCGTGAACCTTTCTGAGACTTAGAAAACTCAAACATTGCAAAACATTAGAAAATGCAGGGTTCTTTCCCATAAACTTTATCAAATGAAGACCTCAGAGACTTGGCTGAGTTCCTCTAGACCGGCCCATCTATCTATCCAACTGTCTATCCACCCAGCAATTTACCCATGTACCCACCAGTCAGTGTTTTCAAGTACTCACGCTCTGCACCAGGCACTACTGCACTGCTGGAATATGACGAGCTCTGGGACTTTATTTTGCGGAAAATTTTATGTATCTTAGTGCCTACCTCCCAAACACGTGATTTCAAGAAAAACTCACCTCGGCTGAATTCCTTACTATAATGAATAGCACCAAAAGGGGGTTGTCCAGAATGTTTATTGGGGAGAGGAAGGTAAAAAACTGGTCAGACAAATCATACTTATTTCAGACTGATGGCTTTCTCAAGGGCTGGTTCCTCTGCCTAGAGAGCTCTACTTCTAACCAACTGATAAGCAGTGATTTCCTATTTATCCTTCATATCTCAAGAATTATTTCTTCAGTGCTGGGGATATAGCTCAGTGGCACAGCACCTGCCTGGCAAGCATGAGGTTGTGAATATAATCCCCAGTAACCAAAAAAAACAAAAAAGAAAAAAAATTATTTCTTCAAAAAGACTTCTCTGATGATCCCTCTCTCTTACTCGAGAGAGGTAATGGCGAACCTTTTAAAATTTTCAGTAGTACAAACAGACCACTGGAGCACACAAGACCACAGATTTGCCACCAATACTCTAGTGATCCTCCCATCAGGCCCAATAGTTTTCCTTTGAAGCTGTAAGCACAATTGCTAATGAATAGTAAATCATCTCATTTGACTTTCCAACTAGAGAATCCTCTGAGGACAAGAATGATTCTGTTTTACTTACACAAAACCTGGCAAACAGCTGCACTCACTAAGGGCTGGCTGGACGGATGGTGGGAGCTTTATCTGCAGTAATGTGACCTCTGAGGGTCTGGATAGACAGTATAGCTTGCAGTGTTCCACAAACACAGTAAGCCAATAAATCCCTGAAATGTCTCAAGAAGTCAGTGTTCTGGAAACCTGGTTTAGAAAATGTTGCTTTCAGGGATTCCTAATCTCTGAGAGTCTAGGAATTTTCCTAGTTTTGAATCGTAGAAATTTGGTCAAGCCCTTAAATGTTACACTACAGAATATAATTCTTCCTTCATTCTGGAAATACAGCTTTAAAAAATTCATTTATTTACACTTAATGAGAGACAGTAATTAAAAGTAAATTGGTTGTTCCCTAGTTGGGAACTTGGTTTGGCTCAATAATGAATAATTTGTTCTTTGAACTAAAAATCTGGTATTGCGATGACAACTGCTTTCAAAGATTTTTGTGGTAAACAAAGTTAGGGGCTGCGTCATACTCTATTCATCTGTGTATGCACAGTACCTCATTCGTCCTTGGCATATGGAGGGTCTCAGTATTCTTCCCTTCACATTATGACACAGTCAACTTTGGGCTCTGTTTAAGTCCTGATGTGCAGCTGGGAATCGGATAGAAGTGATGGTGTTTACAGGCAGAAGGGAGCACCAAGAGGAATCTATGTACTGATAAGTTTCTCTTTTAGGCTTTCCATGATAATGAAGCCTTGGTGACACTTGCAAATCTAATCTTTGAGGGCCAAAAATAATTTGCCTTTATATCTCTGACTTCTAGCACAAAGCCTGGAATATGACAGGCAATTAGTAAAGCTGAATGATAAATGAAATCCTAAAGTGATGACAGTGGAAGTAAGAGGAAAAGTAGAAGTTTTGGAAGATGATAGAATTTTATGTTATAAATATTTTGAAGACACACACCTAGAGAAAATATGCTTATTTACAACCATAGCGTCTAACAGACAACATGTACCCAGAAATGTTGATTGCATGAATTAATGACTTCATGAAAATGAGTCTGCATGTTTGATTAAAACTTTTAAAGCCGGTGCTATCCTGACAGATTCCACAATACAGCAGTTAGATATTAACAGGATAATGAATGCAAACTATTGTTTATATGTAGGATATCAACATACCGACTAACAGCATTTCCAAAGATGGAGCGAATATTGTCTACAACTGTGGCACCGGATAATGTTCTGATGTCAGCAACCGTCTCACCTTGCTGGTAAAAGAAGATATAGTGACTTTCTGCTTACAGTTGTGACAGTGAAATTATTAAAAATCTCCTTTCTTTTCCAATTCCAAACCATCCCCTAAAAACCAAGAACTTACTTTCTTAACTGAGAAACTAATGCCTGAGTTATGTACTGAATACCTAGAAAGAAAAACAAAATGAATGATAAGCAAAGACTACCAAAATGACAAGAGATGGCAGAGCCTCCTTTTAGTTAAGTAAACTGGTAGGGCTAAGCAATGTAAGCAGAGCTATGTATAAACAAAAATATCTTAGTACACACTATCTTATCCTCTGGAAAATAAACTAGTAGAGACTATTTACAGAGATAGCAAAGCTAAATGTGACTCAAACAATTGTAATGGGTTACTGACTGGACTCAAGAAATCTCAGCATGATCTCTTTTCCTGAAGTTTTATTTTCAGTATTCCAAAAGGGGTGGGCTGCTGCTAGGACATCTTGACATTGTAACAAACGTGCCCATTTTGTTCTCTTTCAGAGACCTCAAGGCCAGGTTCTTCTTTGCCTTTAAGTCTTGTGCCAATATCTTACAATTACTACTGCTCTATGGTCCCCAATAAATGAAAGATTATGCCCAACAAAAGCATTAATGAAGTAAGAGTATTTTATTTTACCATACCTAGAACCAAAACAGGACTCCTCTACAAGGAGTGATCAAAATAAATGGTAAATGTTTAAATTTTTAAAAATTAGAGTAAAAGACAATTGCCATGGATAAAAAGCAACATGTCTTTTATCATAATACATTTTTAAGTATTTAAACATTCATTTTGTATTTTGTATTTTGTAATCACATCTCAATTTCAGGAGCTGACACTGGTTTATACATTTACAGGGAAAAATAAAAGAAATTTGATGGAGAAGTATGTGTCATTTTATTATGAGCAAATGTTTGAGTCATTTTAGATTTCTGAAGAAATAAAAAAAGTTAACATATTTCTACTATATCTCAAGGACATATGAGTTTAGACAGCCCATGATGGAGTCGATTGTAGTAGCGAATTAAGTCAACCATGGGTAGAACACTGTTTTCATCTGCCTTGAATTCCCTATCTTTTTTGTATTAACAGGCTGTAAGCTTCCTCTGGGAAACTACTTTAATCCCATTCCACCTGATGCATTCCAGGTAAAACTGCCAATCAAGAAGTCTTCACTTGTTAGGCAAGGGCACAGGATCATATGACATAAACTATGCAAAGTAGATGTACCCTCCAGGCAACATTCAAAAGCAGGGTCACGAAAAGAATGCAAATAACTGGAGCTAGGCAACAGTGTTAAATTGCTGAGATCACCCTGGTTTTTATCCTATTAAAGGAGCAACTGTCTATACTTCCTTTCACTTGCAAACTCCTGACCTTGTAATCAATTTCAACTCAAAGAGCTAAGATCATTTTGTTTTGGTTGTGCCAAAGAATGCTCACTGACACAAAGACCAGCTGCTGTTTCTGGAAGAGACAATAAAAAGCTCAGAAGCAACGATTAGACCCTGACTAGAATAATATATAGGCTAGTTCTGCTGTTTGCCATTTGCGTCGGCAACTGTTCTTAACTTATAAGCACCAGAACACATTACTTTGATGACAAATCACAGAAAAGCACTGCCAGATTTTGAACTGTACCTGCCAACAACTTCCAAAATTTTCCCATACTCTTCACTTGGATTTTTTAAAGCTTTTCTTCTTGTGGTTATGTTATAAAAAAGGTCCTCCACCTGAACAGAAGATTAATTTTCTTGTAAATTCATATAACTGCACAGAAAGAAAGACTCAAGTTGTCCACGAAAAGCTGGGACATAAAATAGTAAATTTAAAGATATTTTACCAACAGCACAAGTCTAAGCACTGACTAAGGAAAAGGGAAAGGGCTGGGGCAACACTGGAAAAGGAATTAAAGGATATTTTTCCTGCCTCACACACAGATTCATTAGCTTCTCAAATATGTACCAGGCATTACCTCTATGTCAGGCTCTTTGTTTTGTGCTGAAAATATACAAATTTCATTTTATCATTTTTTTATGAGTACCAAAGCAAGTTTATTTAAGAGGGCCTGAGCAATAGCACAGGTGTCACTACAGAGGAGGAGGCCCTTCAAGACTACTGCCCAATAGTGGCTGTGAACTGCTGTTTATACAGTAGTTTGCAAGGCCTGTGTCACTGAGGGACAGTGCTCAAAGCTTGCTATCAATGCTGTGCAAGTAAACAAGGGCCTTACATGCCATCCTCCAGATCTTAGCCACTCCAAGGACACCACTCCCCGCTTCAAAAAGGTAACAGTAATATCCGGAGTGTGGGCGAGACACAGGGGCACCATGCTATCTGTGAAGACAAACTTTAAAGCTGAGTCTTGTTCAGAAGAGCACATAATTTAGTGAGGTGTGTATGAATTTATAAACAATTATGAGTACACATGGTATTCAAAGATATTTTTCAAATTAAGGAAATCATAAAATTTCTGAGATTATTTGGAGTTCCTTGAAGTGACACTGTGGTCACCCTGGTAAGGCTCCTGGTAAGGCATGGCAAAGCACATATTCATTTCTGCCTCCTGCATGCTTCATTGCACGCAGGAACTAGAAAGGTTACACTGGCCTTAAGGAGATGTGCTCTAGATGGGATTAAGGGTGGAGGGGCAGGAGGTATAATATGACAGTGGGGTACACAGGATCACGACAGAGGGACTGAAATGCTATAGAAATGAGAGCATATTGGACTTCTTCCCAACTAATGAAACTGTCAAATGATCCACAAAGTACACTTTGAGGCAGGTATTCTTTGTTGATTTGATAGAGGGGAAAATGTAGGGTCAGAGATATTAAGTGATCTGCCCCCAGACACACGAACATCGACTGAGCAGGTACAGACTCCAACCTGTGTCTTCTGCAGTTGGCCTGAATGTTCTACTCTGGCCCTGATTCCTGCCATCCTGATAAATAATCTCCCAGGCCCTTACAAAAGATAAGGGACAGGCTATCACACTACAAAACCCTTTGTTTCGTTTTGCTTTACTTATAGGATGACATCCTTGGGCTTCTATTAACTAAAAAGAATTAATTTTATTATTACTTCAAAACTTCACAGCCAATTTTATTTTTTATTTCAATCTTTATACAAAGCTCTTTTCTACCAATTCACATTCCTATGTACCATCCTTACCGTGATTTGGGTCCCCTGATTGCCTGCACATGGCTTAGGAGGAGCTTTCAGCTTTCCATCTGAGTAACTTGCTCTGATCAGAAAGTACATGAGATTATTAACATCTAATAGAAATAGAGATATTTATTCAAAGGGTAAACAAAGAATATTATTATATTAATAGATTAAACATAGCCATGCTGTACACTGTCTTAATTACCATTTTATTTTCCTTTCCATAATCATTTTAACTGAATTGTTAAAAAGATCTTGTACCAAATCTTATTTTTTAGTTGCTGAGTTCTGAGCTATTACACAACAGTTGTACAACTGCCCAAGATAACATGAAAATACATTATGCAATCATTTATTGAAAAGCTACCAGGTACTAGGCTTTTGATAGCCCTGGTAGTAAATATTTTAAAAAAGGGCCTAAGATCTACAAGGCGATAAGAGTTTTACCACAATAATGGAATAATGTACTAAGTGATCTAGGGAAGGAACCATTCAATGTGGGGTGGAAATGAAGTTAGGCAAAAATATTGCAGAAGAGAGAATAATTAATTTGGGCATTAAGCAGCTATAGTTTCAGCTGGAGATAGCAGGAAAGACCATCTAAGAAAGGAAAAACATACCCACATAACCACAAAAGCTTTCAACTATATGGTAGCTGGGAATGTGTGGAGAATAGGTTGGAGGGTGGCATGAGGGCACTGGTTCCCAATATGAAAACCCTGCATTTCATCCTGTCGTAGGAGAAGCCACTAGGGCTCCCAGGTGGGGCATAACACAACCCTTGAAGAAACAGACCTTGGAAGAAATCAATTCACAAGTCTTCCTGATGAGATGACTGCAGTCCTATTAGTCCATCTATTCCCATGGCTCCCCTAGCACTTTTGCCACAGGCTCTAAAATGCTCCGCCCCCACTTCCATTACTTTACACATCTGCCTATGAAGACTAGGAAACAGGCATAAGCAGTTGATTTATAAAAAATCTGTAAGTTTAAAATTTTCCAGGGAGTGGGGAAAGTATCCCTACCTGTCTTCTGCTGGTAAATAGCCACTACTAACAAGAACAAAAATGTAATTTTGATTTTCTGAACCCCATGTTTGTTCTGTTCCAAGGGCATTCATCAGCCTCTGAAAATAGTGTTGGCCAGCAGCCATTCATGGAAGGTAAGCCAGCCCAGGTATGTACTTGGGAGCTGGTAGCTGGGAGCTAACAAAGGAACTATGAACCTTCGGCATTCCAGCTATAGCCCAGTAATCAGCCCAAAGTGATGTACTTCTGAAGGGCAGAGGGGCAGAAATAATACCACCAGCTATCACTTACTTAATATATGTATGTGGGAGACACCTTGCTGAGCACTTGTTAAGTTGCATTTTTTAAAGTATCTGTGTACTTAATAATTATCCCTGATTTTCAATTTCTCCATAGTGAGGGAAAAAAGTTATTTAAAATCTCAGACCAAAGAAAATTAATACTAGGGAGATAATACGATATTTACAAATGTGAGTTTGATTTATGAAAGGGAAATAAATTGCTCAAAAAGAAAGAACAACTGGGACAAGGGTAAAGAGAGAAGGGAAAAGATTGTATGTATACAGGTATACATATATATGTATGTATATGTATGTGTATATGTATGTATGTATATATACAAATATATACAAGATAGATAGTTATATTACTAACCTTTTAGTTCATCCAAATAACAGTTTGTGTTTTGATTATTTTGTTCGTGTTTACCTCTTGTAACCTAAACAACTACTTCTAAGATAACAATATGCAATATATTAGTGTTACCTTTTTTTCTGAAATTTTGTATTGCTTCTATTCTTTTTTGTTTTGCTTTTTTAAAACAAAAAATGTAATTAAGAAATCTATAAAAAAAGAAAAGAAGAAAGTTAACACTAGGATTCTTAGAAGATGGAAGAGTGGTAAACAGCAGAGAAACAGTGTCTCTGAGATTTGGTGTCCAGATGTTGGAATATAGCAATGTGAAGAAGAGTAAAAGGGGAGAAGTGAGTCCCTAAGACCCAGCAAGGATCTAAAGTGAGGATTTAAGCTCATACGAAGAGTGAAGAAAAGAGGTCTCAACAAAGCAGAAGGTGGTGGCAAGCAGTGCTGTTTCCCTGAGCTCTGGCTTAATGCAAAGACTGGGCAATTCAAATCTGCACGAGCATGGTGACTGCTGACACTATAGACACCTCCAGGGGGAAATGCACCAGTAGAACAAAGCAGTGGATTTAGCGGACTGTAGAGAACGGTTAGTTATTCAGGTTCAGATATCCCCAGGAAAGAGGATGGGTTGGTCACCATCTTAGAGAAGAGCAAATGAGCTCAAAGCTCAGAGCAGCTGTGGGCAGGCTCCATTTAACAGCTTCCACTGTAAAGGTAAGGCATAACCAAGTTCAAGCAGGCAGGAAGCACATACAGTATTGCAGACTGAACAAACTGGGTTCTACGTGCACAGCTAGAAACCAGCCTGAACTTTGGTGGAACTAAGGTGCAGGTTTGCTGGGTTTTCCACTATCCTGCTATAAATCTACACCTGGTTTGCTGGGATTAATCAATATGAATCTGTGATCTGTCTGCCCACTCTGTCTAGAAATGACAGTACTGAAGTGGAAATTTTTGTCTTTTTTGTTTTTTGATTGATTGTTCTTCTTTTATGAATGAGAACACTGTTTCTAGTCACTTTGTTGTTGTTCTTTTCTTATATTTTTTTGTCCTGTAACGAGGACTACAACTCCAAGAACTTCAAGAACCCCAAGAGAATGAATCTACCAGGCAAGACAGGAAATTAAATGGGGGGAGGGTACGGAAGGGAACCAACAGCAGGAAAATAACATGGCAAGGTTAAGTCAATACACATCAATTAAAACCATCAATGTAAATAGTCTCAATTTGCCAATCAAAACAGACTAGCAGAATAGATCAATATGCTGCATGTAAGAAACACATTTAATCAAAAAGAAATTGAGTCAGGCGTGGTGGCTCATGCCTGCAATCACAGCACTCGGGAGGCTGAGGCAGGAGGATCACTGAGAGTTCAAGCCTGGGCTACAAAGTGAGCTTAAGGCCAGCCTGAACTGCCTAGCAAGACCCTGTCTCAAAAAGACCAAAAAAAAAAAAGAAGAAGAAATTGACAGACTGAAAGTCAAAAAACAGAAATCAACACTCCATTTGACAGGAACCCAGAAAAAATCAGGGGTTGCGCCAAAGTGCATCTCAAGCCAAAACTGACTGAGAGACAAAGAACGTAAGAATATTCTTGTAAATGGAATGATCCAAGAGGAAGAAATAACAACCCTAAAAATATATCTACCAAATAACTGCACACTACAAATAACTATTAATAGACATGAAAAATCAAATAGCACTAATAAAATTGTAATGGGGAACTCAATATCCCACTGTCATGAATGGATGAACTAGACAGAAAATCAACAAAGAAATATGAAAACTGAACCAAATTTTGAATAAATAGACTTAAGTTGATATCTATAGTGTTTTCACACCACATCAGAACATTCATTCTTCTCAGCTGCACATGGAACTTTATCGAAAATAGACCACATAGTAGATCATAGAACATGGTTAAGTAAATATAAAAGGATTTGAAATTATCTTATCCATATCAGATCACAGTGAAATGAAATGAGAATTCAGTGGCAAACAATGTAGCAAATCAATCAAGGAGATTATATACCATGACCAAGTAGGATTCATCGCAGGGATTCAGGTTCCATATACACAAATAAATAATCGTAATACACCATATTAACAGAGCCAAGGACAAAAACCATATGATCATTTCAACAGATCCAGAAAAAGCATTTGACAAAGTCCAACATCCATTCATGATAAAACCCTACATAAAATCAGAATAGATGATCTTTATCTTAATCTGTTAAAAGCCATCTATGGGGGAGGAGAAAAAATGGTGGCTTGCTAGGAAGCTGGATAGAGAACCTCTGGGGGAAAAACAGCTCAGATGCTAGAATTTGACAACATGGAGAGGGCCAGACGATTGGATAACGATTGCATTAACCAAGGAGGAAACCGAAGGGAAAAATAAAGTTAGGAAAAGGAAGGAAAAGCCCGGGTGGAGGGCTGAAGCCCAACATGCTCACTGAGACCCGTTCTGCGCTGTGCTGGGTGTGCCCTGGAGTCAAGGATCAAAAGTCACGCTGAAGCCGCAGCTGCCATTAACGAGAGTGGATGAGTCCTGGGCCCTTGAAGGGAGGATGAGGCACAGTGTGGAGTGGAGCCAAGCCATGGTGGAGAGATTTATTGGCTCTTGGGGAGTACTGGAAATTGGGTCCCAGGGCCCTGCAGAGCCACCAGAGCCGCCAGGCCACACTGGAGGAGGCCGTGGAGAGACCACACACCTGGGCACCGAAGCTGGGCACCGCACAGTTTTCAGAAGAGGCAGGATGCTGATCTAGACCTGGAAAAACCACATCAAGCTAGAATTTACCTCTGCAGAGGAAGGAAAAATGCAAGTGGAGGGGTGGAATCTATGCGCTCACTGAGACCTGTCTGCACTATGCTGGGAGTGCCATGGAGTCAGGTGACTCAAGTTGAGCTGAAGCCACGGCCACCAATAATGGGAATTGTTGAGTCCCGAGCCCTTGGCGGGAGGACGCGGTGCAGTGTGGACTGGAGCCAAGATGGAGAACTGCATTGATTCTCAGTGAGTGCTGGGGACTGGGTCCCATGGCTGCTGTCGCTGACTGGAGAACATCTTGGAGGTGAGCAGAGCCTGGCACCATGGTGGCATCAATTGGCCACCCCTGGCGCAAAGAGGACTGGTGGGATCTGCTGGGACTGAGCTACGCCTCTGGAGGGGACCCAGTACCCAGGATCAAAACTGTCAGGACTCTGTGATGTTCACAAGGTACAGCCTAAGTTGCTGAAGGAACTTGTGTGTTGACTCAGAGGCTCAAGGCTAGTCTGTATTGTCCTTGCGTCCCTGCGTGTACCTCAGACAACAGCAAATTGGGGAGGGCAGCAAAACCCCAGTCAGAATGCTTGGGAAAGACCCTAAATTCAGAGAGGGTCAGCGACTCCCCGGATACACCTGTCTGAAAGAAACGAGAAACATGACAAGAGATAGAAATTTAAAAAAAACCTCCAGCCCCTGACCCTGGGAAAATAAGCCCAGGAGAGGTAAATACAGAAGAGAAACAATGCAGTAATCATGCAATATTAGACACAGTATCAGCGGACATAAAGAAATACCTTTGTGACCTCACAGATGAATTTGAAACTGTACTTCTGATCCAAGTGAGGCAAGATATAAAAAGATTAATTAAAGAAATGATAAGCCCCTCCCAAGAGAACACAGATGGAAGAACGGAGGAACTCAGAAAAGGAAGAGAAGCCTTTGATGAAGAATATAAACAAAATCTAGAATACATGAAACAGTTCCAAAGAGATTACCAGGAAACTAAAAGCTCCATTGAAAGCTGGCAAAATGCCTTGACAGAAATTAAAATTAGCCTTTCGAAACTTGAAGAGAGATTTATGATGTGTGATCGTGAAAGAAAAGATCTCTTAAAAATAACAAGAACTAGGAGGAAACAATTCAAAGGCTAGAAGATGACAAGAGGATTTATAACTTTAGAATAAAAAATGTGAGTGAAGCAGCATGAGTAACCACAAATGAACTACAAAGACTATTCAAAGATATGATTAAGGAAATCTTCCCAAGCAGAGGAAAAAGAAATGATATCCATATAAATGAGGCATATAGAACTCCAGCCACCTACAACCAAAACAGATCTATACCCAGAGATATAATAATCAAGATTCCAGAAATCCACCACAAGAACAGAGTATTAAAAGCAGCCAGAGAAAAGCAGCAGATTACCTACAAAGGAAAAATTATTAAAATAATGACAGACTTATCAACACAATCTCTTAAATTGAGAAGAGCCTGGGGGGAAATAGTCCAAGCCCTGAAAGAAAATAACCTCCAACCAAGACTGATGTATCCTGCAAAACTCTCTCAAAATTAATGGAGAAACAAGATATTTCCAAGACAAGGAGGAACTGTGGGAGTTCATGGCCACCAACCCAACCCTACAAAATATACTGAAGGACATTCCAGAGAGAAAGAGGTAAAAATACCAGGATTCCAGCAACAGTGGCAGAGAGGCCTCAATGAATGGGGCAGACAGTGGAATGAAGGAGTAAAGTGGACAAATAATAGCAGAAGAATAGAACAGCAGAGATGAGGCAGAGACAATAAGCTATAATCTTTAATATACATAGCCCTGATATACTAACAAAAAGAAACACAGGCAGAGTAGATTAAGAGGCAGGATCCATTGAGATGCCCTGAATAGGAAATACACTTAACCTGAAACAGGGTTAATAAACTTAGAGTCAAAGATGAGAAAACAATGCTGTATGTTACAGGTTAGAGAGAAATGCTGTATGTCTGGTTAGAGAGAAATAGGGACAACTCGTCCAGCAGCCGCAGATAGATTGGAAAGCTACGACACTTTTAGGCAGTGTAGGACTACACAGCTGGAAGGAAGGAAAACCTTGTGACTTTAGTAAGAAAAGGAGTACAGCTCAAGATCAAGCTCAAGCTCAGCAACACTCAGATGGATAACAGGTTGGCTCCCTAATCTAAAAATTAAAGGAGCCAGTGGGACCCAAAATATATAAAGTACCCTGAGAAAGGGAAAGGGAGAAATTGTCAAAAAAAGGAAGGCAGAGGACATTATTAATAGTGTATCCGGATTTAAAAGTCACAGTAGTCTTATTGCTCTGGTTAGTTTGATTATATTTTGTTTCAGTCTGTGTACTCATATTAGATTTGAGGGCACAGACAGCTAACCCAAAAACAGCAGTAGTCTTATTGCTCTGGTTAGTTTGATTATATTTTGTTTCAGTCTGTGTACTTATATTAGATTTGAGGGCACAGACAGCTAACCCAAAAATAGCAGGTTATACCATGGTAACTATCCTTAATTTCCTATTAACTTAAACTAAAATCCTGTATTACTTACATTGTCTTACTATGACTGATCTTATTTAAAGCTGGTTTGTTAGACTGCTGTTCAGCCTCGACTGAATTTTATTTGAATTTGGTATGCTTGATAGTATCAAGTCTAAGAGTAGAGGCAACTTCTCTGAAGATGACCAGATGTAAAAGATATCCATTCCAGTTTTGATTATTAACTGCTTTCAAGCCCTACAATGTCTTCAAAGTTGTGTTTTTATAAAAACATCTATGTAACACTATGTTTAATTATATAATGCCTGATGATGTGGACAATTCTATTGAAAATACAAGAGAAAGCATAGTAACTACTGTAGATCACCTAATACTGTGGTCCTATATGTCTTTTTCATTTCATGTTTTTCTAGGAATTTGTTTTGTTGTCTTGTTTTGATCTGTTTTTCCCTATAATACAGAAAGGATAGATATACATGTAGAGATTCACACATGGGAAGAATTTCTAAACTATTTACAGGAATAGATTATATAATACATGATATAATGAACAGATACTCTGATGAAGAGACACTAAGAAACCCAGTGCTAATTCTGTAACATTATGACATAAAATCTAGCAAAACTATTATTCACTGTTCACAGTGATATTAGTCTAGTCTCTTACGTTCAATTTCAGCATACGTAAAGATAAAGACAGCTACTACGAAGAGAATGAGAGACATTATGGTAGTCATTATTTACTTCCCCAAAATCAGGTCTTGAAGACCTAAAAAGCCTTCATCATCCTGTAACGATTTGATTAGTTCTATAATGTTCAGTATGTATTCAATGTGTGTGAAGATGGGGACAACTATTTGGAAAAACACTAGAGAAAATAAGATAGACAGTGAAGATCTCCAGTGGACTTGCTTTGAAATCTGTGTTTCTTTAAATTGTTTCCTTATGAACCGTTTTGTTATGTTCAGTCTTACCCTCTTTAAGATAAAAAACAAGTGTGTAGGACTGATAACCACATTACTAAGTTTTTGTTGGATCATTGAGCACAACTGTTTGCAGTGTCATTATTTGAATGTCACTTTGTATGCTTTAATTTTGTAACTTGAACAACTTGCTAAGATGACAATATGTAACTTATAAACTAGTGATTTCTTACTGTTTATTTTTCTGAAGTTTTATATTATTTCTACCCTTTTTTCTGTTTTTTTTTTATCTTTAAATAAATAAATAAAAGCCATCTATAACAAACATCACAATAATTGGATAAAAATTGAAACACTGGGGCTGGGGATTTAGCTCAGCGACATAAGCACCTGCCTTGCAAGCAGGTGTTCGTGAGTTCGATCCCCGGTACCGATAAAAATGAAAAAGACAAAAGACCAAAAAAAAAAAAAAAAAAAATTGAAAACACTCACACTAAAATCAGGAACAAGATAAGGATTCACTATCACTATTCTCATTAACCACAGCAATTAGACAAGAGAAAGAAATAAAAGAATACAGATACGAAGGAAGAAGTTAAACTATCATTTGAAGATGATATGATACACTGCACAGAAAACTCCAAAAATTCACTGAAAGACATCTAAAAGATCTAATAAGGTTTAATAACCTTAAAGATTTAATAATCAAATTCAATAACAACTATATACAAAGCCAGCACTCAAAAAACAATAGCACTTCTGTACACACATAATGAATTCACCGAAATTTACAATGCCATCCAAAAAAATGAAATACCTAGGAATCAATCTAACAGATAATAGATATCTTCACATTGAAAACTATAGTACTCTGAAAAAGAGATCAGAAAAATGGAAAGATTTCCCTTGTTCTGGGGTAGAAAGAACCAATATAATGAAAATAGCCATACTTTCAAAATTATTAAATAGATTTATTGAGATCTCAATGAAAATACCATAGCATATTTCACAGAATTACAGAAAACAATCCTAATATTCATTTGGAACCAGAAGAGACCCAGAGCAGCAAAAGTAATTCTGGGCAACAAAAGCAAAGCAGATGGCATTAAAATTCCTGACTTGAAACAGTATTATAAAATTCCTATGATAAAAATGGCAAAAAAGAAAAACAGATCCAAGGAACAATGGAACAGACTAGAAGATGCAGAAAAACTCCAAACACACTCAGACACCTTATCTTTGACAAAGGAGCCAAATACGTTCATTGTAAAATAAAGACCAAAATAATGAGAAATTGGAAGAAAATGTTAAAATGGGGAGGAGAGTAAAGAAAAAGGGTGTGGGAAGGGAATGAAGAGAAAAGAAATAGAAAGAATAGAAGAAAAAATGGAAACAAGGCTTTTTTAAACAAAGAAGGGAAAAAGGGTTGAAGGAGAATGGGGAAAAAAAGAAGTAAAATATAACATATATAGGCACAAACTCCCTATGATGAATGTTATTATTATATGTATCTAAATGTACCAATAAACAAAGAAACAGATGTCAACCTAGCCAGTACCCTTTCTATATCTGGAGCTATTTCTATTCCCCAATAAACCTTTCTTAATCTTAACAACAATAACAACAACAATAAAGTAACATTAGAGGTTAGGCAGGATTCTCAGAGATCTTGAGAAAAAGTAATTTCACAATGAATACATAGGAGAAAAGGACAATACTATACCTGTATGCACACTTTCCATCAGTTGTTTTGGTTGTAATAGTAACATGAGCCACGTGACTTATGCTGGCCAAAGCCTACGGAAGAAAATGAAATGGAATGAAACAAAAACAAATTGCTTAGGGAAACAAATCTAAATCAATGTTTCTGTTTTATATTAAGATATGACAACAATGAACACTTCATTGACATGTTTAAAAAAGGATATAAAATTGAATCTGTAGCATAATCATTAAAGCAAGAAAAAATTTATATTACAATGTCAAAAAGGAAACACTAAAGCATTAATGTATTAATAGGCACTGTATTCAGGTGATAGAACTATAGCATTCTTAGCTTCCCATTATTGCTGCAAATATCTGAGACAATTAACTTTAACAGGAAAGCTTTATTTTGGCTCACAGTTTCAGAGTTGAGGCCATCATCAGTTGATCCCATGGCTTTTGGGCTTATGTTGAGGCCGCACAAGATGGAGAGGAATATATGGGGCAGCAAAACCACTCACCTCGTGTGATGCCATAGGAGAGAAGAGAAAGGGATACCACAAGTCCTTAAAGGGCACACTGCCCAGTGACCTGAAGACCACACACCAGCCCCCACTTGTTAAAATTTCAACCACTTTTCAGTAGCACCAAGTTGGGAGACCAAGGCTTTAATTAATACGCAGGCCTACTACAAATGACAGCAGGCATGCTTAATATATCCTGAATGATTTATCTTTTAATAACTTAAAAATAGTGGAGTTATTCCAAATACATGATGTTGGAGACTGCTACTCAAAACTGCTTTATATAAGTAATTATAGGGTAGAAACATAAAATTAAAATTATTTAATTAAACAAATTAAAACATTTAAAAAACCTAAGATCCATTCTTTCCCCTTATAAACAAGACTGGTTTTTTGGTCCCTTGGGATCTGTATCTCTTTTTACTAAAAGGACATCATCATCAGTATGCAACCCAGGAGCTGTGCTACAATGAGGTCTGTGTGACAGTACCCATACAGCTGAGAAAGGTTCGGTTCAACAAGCAACCTGGTTCTACAAGCTGATCAAGCATAGGAGTTATGAGACCATGCTTAGCAAAAGAGTTAGACCCCTGTTGCAAAAACAAAAACCAAATAAAGAAAAACAAAAAACATTTCTCAGGCTCAAAAATTACTTGGTGTTGGCTAGATTTCCCTGTAATTTTCATCACTGACAATATATAAATGATTTTGAGACCTGTGTAATGACGGACATTAGAGATGCACGACAGTACAACAGTACCTAACACCACAGAAAAAGTTCCACTACAAATGGCACAGCAAATAGTCCTGCTACTTGACAGGATCTTTCCAGTGGAACAAATGGGGAGGAGCACGGACTGCAGTCAACGTACCTAAATTAATCCCTTCTGCTACCTTCTACGTGTGTGCCTGGCCATGCTGGAAGTAACACGTAAAACATACATAAAGCATCAGAACCTCTGGTGACACAAATCCCTAAACAAATCTTGTATAATCACAGTGAAACAATAATCCTAAAGATTGTTCAGGTAAGGCTCTAGGCCATGAACTTGGAAAATGACCCATAGAGTGCAAAGTCCATACAAAACTATTCCTAGAGCTTGACCTGAGGCAGCCTCAGGGTAAAGTATCCTTATTAGGAACATTTTGGGGCTCACTGTAAGAGAGTCCTTGAGACTATCTTGGTTTGCTCTAAATAGTCCCAAATTACAGGTACTAGGTCACAGCTGCCTTTAATTTATTTTTGGTCTTTTTTGTTTTTATCGGTACCAGGGATCGAACTCACAACTGCCTGCTTGCAAGGCAGGCGCTTAAGCCGCTGAGCTAAATCCCCAGCCCCACAGCTGCCTTTAAAAAAAAAAAAAATAAGGTAAATTGGAAATTTAAAAACTAGAGAGGCCAAAATTGAAAAGTAATAGGCTTCTTTCCTCTCTCCCACCTTTAATCTCATTTCCTCAAAATAATTAAACAGCTTTTCTTGTCCCCTAGAAAGGAACAGATCCCTACCAAAACCTTGATTTCAGCCTAATGAGACCCATGTCTTCTGATCTTAAGAACTGTAAACAATAAATGTATACTCTTTTAAACCATCAATTTTATGTGATTGGTGGGCCACCAGCAGTAAATATCTACTACTAATATTTTTAAAATGTGTATTTTTACTTTAGTAAATTTGTAAGTAAGGAATAACAAAACACAGTGTATATCTAAGAATATTCATCAGAGCATTAAACAGGAAAGAACCGTAGCCTAAATGTTCAAAAGAAAATCATTTGATGAAACTTCATATAGGTACATTATTCATAATGGAATAGTATATACCCATCAAGAACTATATAAGTCTACACTTATTGGATGGAAAGGTATCCATAAGGAATTAAGTCATTAAAAACAAGAGGATCCCATTTTAGACTTAATTTTTTTATTTTCTATATCATATATTCCTGTAATAATTTACAAATGCCACAGTATTTTTTTGTTCAGTATTAAGGATTGAATCCTCAGTGCTAAACTGCCAAGGCTGGTGATCTTTCTGCTTCAGTGTTCTATGTTGCTAGGAATATGGGCATGTGCCACCTCACAATATTTTTTATTAAGAAAATTAATAATTTCTACTGAATACTATCAAACAGCCAATATGGGTTCAGCATGTTTATCTTTTATTGTTGTTGTTCCCAGGATCGAACTCACAACCTCATGCTTGCCAGGCGTATGCCACTGAGGTATACCCCCAGCCCTTCCTTGTAGTTTTTGTCAAGTCTTTTGTCATGTAGTTTTGTTAGTATCACTTACTATCCTTGCATGTAGCCTATATTTTCTGTAGGTTGGTATTTAGATCTATATATTGACTAAATGATTCATTTTTTTTTTTTTTTGCCAAAAAAGCTACATGGATGTAGCTACATGTTGTGTTGGGTATATACAACATATAATATCTAAGCTTTAAAATAGTTTATTGGATATTAAGTACCAATGAATAATTTACAGCTTTGGAAAGCCAAATTAAATAAAGTTAAAATTTGCATATACATTGGTAACTCAATTCATGAACTCAATTCTTTCCATGATTTTGATAGCAAGGTTAATTCTACAGTTACAACCACAATCATGGAAAGAACCAAGATTGTACAAATATGTAAATTTACAGTTCACAAACACTTTTGTTTGCAAACAATGTTTCTCAAATAGAAGTGTTAGGCAAAACTTTGTTTTTGTGTGCAACTCTGTATTGGGTGACAAACATAATCATGGCCATCTTTTCCAAAATTGTAGAATATATTAAGTTTTTGAATCAAGGTACTACTGTATTTAACAAGTAAAAATTAGCAAATCTTGGCTTGTTCATTTGTTTTGGTTGTTTTGAGACAGCGTCTTGCTGCATGGGTTCAGGCTGATTCCATCTCACTAAGTGGCCCAGCCTGGCCTGACCTCACTGTGATCCTCCTGCGTCAGCCTCCCGCGTGCTGCAATACCACAACTGGCAAAAACAGCAAATCTTATTTACCTCTGTTGAGAAATATACGCTGATAAATGACAATGTCATCAGCAAGATAGTTTACATATTTCTTTAAACTTTAGCTTACCTCGCCCCGAAAGCCGTAAGTAGAAATACTAGCTAAGTCCTCAAAGGACTGCAGTTTACTAGTTGTGAACCTTTCGCATACAATATCCAGATCTTCTTTCTACAAGACACAGAAAATCAGTAAATAATTATGTTATTCACTTTTCCAAATCTTTCTGAACTTATAATTCATTGATTTAATCCAGAAAGGAACTCCTCTCAACAGAGTTTGTAAATTTGCAGTAACTTCCCTACTTGGTGTTCAGATTACAACATTGTCTGACATCCTCCCTTGTTACTACGTTGCTCATTTTCAGCATCATCTGTTGCTTCCATTTCATGTCCCCATCTCCTGACAACAGAATCACCCAGGATTTTCTATCCTTAGATGTCTGCTCTGTCTACACTCACTATCCTGGTAATTTCAGTCAATGTCAAGGTCTTTTTTGAAGAGTTGAAAATATTACTTCAAATCTACAGCGAACTTTTTACTTTTATTTTTTGTGGTGCTGGGGATTGAATTTAGGTCCTCACAAAGGCTAAAGAAACTCTCAGTCAGCTATACCTCTAGCTCTTTATATCTCACTTTTGAGACAAGCTCTCACCTGTGTTGCCCAAGTTGCCCTGAACTTCTAAGCCTCTTGCATCAGTCTCCTGAATAGCTGGAATTACAAATGTGTACCACCACATCCAGCTAAGTAACTTTTTAAACTGTAGCAAAATACATATAAAATTTTCATTAAAATATTTTTAAGTGTTGCAGTTCAGAGGCATTAGTTACTTCACTACTGTTGTGCAACCATCACTACCATTCACGTCCAGAACATTTTCATCTTCCCTAAACTGAATCTCTATTTCCATTGTTATGGTTTTGTCTAGATGGCTCCCCAAAGCTCCATACAGTCATGGAACAGGCTTGCAGAATTTGCAATTTATTCATGGTCCAGTGCTGGAATTATAGGCATGAGTGCTACACCCACCCTTGGGTGGTTAGCCTATATACGGTATAAGGGACTAAAAGAGTCTTCTCATATACTCTTCCCCTTTTGTTCTTATTGCTTTTCTGTTTTCTGCCACCAAGAATGGTTGCCCCTCAGCCATGCCACCCTGCCTTGAAGCCAGCTGGGTATTAACTGAAATCTCACTAACTCTGAACTAAACCTTTTCTTCTTTAATTCTGAGATTGGGCACTTTGTCCCAGCAATGACAGAAAAGTAACCAAGATGCCCTTAAGTAATAACTCTTCATCTCTCCTCATTCTCTAGTTCCTTACCAACCATCATTCTACTTTCCACATTCTACACCATATAATAGGAATCATATATCTATCCTTTTTTTCTGACTTATTTTACATCTTAAACAGCCACCTTAATTAAATATGCCCCCAAATGAACTTCCTATCTTCCCCCAAACCTGTTTCTTCCATAATCTTTCCCATCTCCAGTAAGGCAACATTTTTTCCGTTTACACAAGTCAAAACTTTGAAATCACTCTTGACTCTTCCTCTCACACTCTGTATCAGCAAATTCTGAGTGTTTGCCTTCATAATTAACTTAGAATCACTGCTTCTTACATCTTTACTGCCACCAACTTAGATCAAGGCACTGTTGTCCTCTTCTGGATGTTGCAAGAACCTCCTGCTTCCACCCTGTCCTGCTGCAGTCTATTTTCCAAAAAGCAGAAAAAGGACTTTTTATAAAAAACTTTCCAAATCATGTACCACTTTGCTTAAAATCCTCTAACTGTATCCTATCAGAGTCACTATAAAAGCCACAGACTTCATCATGGGTCTAAAGGTCCTACATATTTTCCCTCAGATCTCATCTCCTGTTACTCTTCCCTTGTTCATTCTGTTCTAGACACACTGGTCTCCTTGTTGGTCATTAAATGTGTCAGGCATGTTTCTATTTCGTAGTCTTTCTCTTTAGTATCTCTGCCTAAAACATTCATTCTCTGGACGGTCTCATCACTTGCTCTTTGGTTCTTCATTAGGTCTCTCCTTAAACACCACATCCACATTAAAGCCTTTCTGAACCATTCAAGTTAAATTGTGTCACTCTTCTCACTTCTCTATCTTCCTCCCTGCTTTTGCTTCTCACATCACCTGACAGTATTTATTGTACCTATTTAATGCTTGTTCCCCTCTACTATAATGGAAGCACCAGAAGAGAAAGTAATTTTGGCTATTTTTTCACTACCATTATCTCCTGAACAGTGCCTACCGGTATTCAATACATAATTACTATTGCAGTTGAATTTTTCACTCAAAAATCCCATCCACAAAGACCTCAAGTTTCAGAATAGGGAAAGATTCTGGCTTTTCCTACAAAGTTACCACATAAAGCACAGGAACATCCTGCTCCCTCGAGGTTTTACTTACCCTGATTCCAGTGCCATTGTCTTGGATCTGAATCAACTTTAGACCTCCCTCTTTAACAATCACTTGAATACTTGTGGACTTTGCATCTAAACTAGCAAATCAAAGACAGAAAATAATTCATTAGTCTCCACTTAACTTTGATGCATGTATTTCAATATGGACCAAACAGTGACAAAAACTCTAATACGAAAGGGCTAGGTTGATATATTTTTCCTTTGTTTTGCAGGCTCAACGTCTACATTATATGAATTTACATATTGTATAACAGAGAAGGGCAAAACAATCATTTCCAATCACTCTTCCTCTATGGAAAAAAAGATTAGCAGAAGTAGGATTCTTTTGGCATATGCCTCTTATCCTCAACGAATTTTACAGTTACTTCAACTTTATTCAACCTCTGGATCCTAAGTGATTCTAATAAAATGTACTTAAAATGCTAAATGTTTTTCTATACCATTACTTTTTCTTTTTTATCGGTACTGGGGATCGAACTCATGACCACACACTTGCAAGGCAGGTGCTTATGCCATTAAGCTAAATTCCCAGCCCCACTACCATTACTTTTTAAGAAAATACACTTATGACAAAGGAAAGAAAAAAATGGCAATGTATAAAGTTCTTTAAGAAATCAATAAATCTTTTGTGCTTTCAAAGAGTAGCCCATATGGTCAGAGCAACTATAAAGAAAGCAAATTCAGCCCAGAGGTTGCATAAAAAAAAGAAGTTATTCACTGAAAGAGAAAATTATTCCTTCAAAAATAAGGGCAACTTGATAAATACTAAGACCAGGTTGTGCCCCTGGGTGTCTATGGATTATTTCTGGAATGGTAACACTAACAACACGGTATCCTCTGAAGAATATTTTTTTTCCTAACATAAGCTTTTATATTTTGTATATTTCTGCACTTCTTACATATATAGTTGTAAGCAGCTTCTAACGTACAGGCATTATTAAAACAGTATCATATATACTTCTCTACTACTAACCCCCAAACACTACAAAGACCCAGTGAGAGCGCTCCAGAAACTCTCGCTTCTGCTCAGGGTAGGTTGAAAGCTGGCCCAGCGCGGGCGCCCGAGTTTGGTGCATGCGCTGTACGCGCTTCCGCCCAGGCATGGAGATGCGTCCGCACTATTCAGAGGAGAGGCCCGTTACGTCGTTGCCTTTAAGAGAACTTGGCTCGAAACCCTCCGTACCAGTTTTCAATCATCTCTTTGATGGCATTAGCAGGACGCTGGATAACTTCTCCTGCCGCAATGCGGTTGACCACTGTCTCATCAAGCCGCCGAATAACCCCCGCTATAAGCGACATCTTGGCGCCAGAGGAGCCCAGGCGGAGGTCAGATGCTAAACGGAAGTGCCTTTAGCCAATCACCTCAGTGCCTCGTGTCTACGTTCTTCCTTCCACTACGGATTTACGACATCCTGCACCACCCTCCAGCAGAAACTCCCGATTGGACAATTTATATGCCAGTCAAATTTCTTAACTGCGTGTGTGTCTGGATCTGTTTGTCCCGCCTTAAAGCGTCTGCAGCCCACCAACTGGAAAAATGTGTCTGCTTTTCCTATTGGTTTTTTCCTAGGCGCTGCAGGAGAATACGAAATCGCCAGCCAATAGGAAGGGGAGGTGTCATCGCGGAGGCCGGTGTTTTCCCGCTGAGGTGATCTGTCGCAGAGCCCCGGAGCTGCTTTTCTCCCGACCGGCTCCTCCCCTCTCCTTGTAGCCTCTCTGAGGTTTGCGGTGCTCTTGTGGCTTCCTGCAGAATGTGGATGACGCCCAAAAGGAGCAAGATGGAAGTCGACGAAGCTCTTATTTTCCGGCCAGAGTGGACCCAGCGTTACTTGGTGGTGGAGCCTCCGGAGGGCAACGGTGCTCTGTGCCTGGTGTGTCACCGTCTCGTCGCTTCTACCCGCGAACGCGATGTCAGGCGCCACTATGAGGCCGAACACGAATTCTATGAGCGGTATGTGACAGAGGAAGAGCGTGCGGCCCTGGTGGAGCGTCTCCGGCAGGGCGATTTGTCGATTGCCGATGTTCTCACTCCTGAGGAGAAAGCTGCTCGTGCAGGCCTTGGGCTCTGTCGCCTGTTGGCTTTGAAGGGCCGCGGCTGGGGTGAAGGGGACTTTGTGTACCAGTGCATGGAGGTGTTTCTGAGAGAGGTACTGCCAGATCACATAGGCGTCCTGGAAGGCATTGATTTATCTCCGGAGATCACAAGGCAGAGGATTCTCAGCATTGACAATAACCTGCGTAGTCAGCTTTTTAATCGAGCCAGGAACTTTAGGGCTTATTCCCTTGCTCTGGACGACCAGGCCTTTGTGGCCTATGAGAACTATCTCCTTGTCTTTATCCGTGGCGTGGACTCTGATTTGGAGGTGCAAGAAGACCTTCTGACCATAATCAACCTAACTCATCACTTCAGTGTTGGTGCGCTTATGTCAGCAATTCTAGAGGCCCTGCAGACGGCAGGGCTTAGCCTGCAGCGAATGGTTGGACTGACCACCACACACACTTTGAGGATGATTGGTGAGAACTCAGGACTTGTCTCATACATGAGAGAAAAGGCTGTAAGCCCCAACTGTTGGAATGTTATCCACTATTCAGGGTTTCTTCACTTGGAACTTTTGAGTTCTTATGATGTAGATGTTAATCAGATCATAAATACCATATCTGAATGGATAGTTATGATTAAGACAAGAGGTGTTAGGCGACCAGAATTTCAGCCTTTACTAACTGAGTCTGAATCAGAGCATGGTGAAAGGATCAATGGACGATGTCTGAACAATTGGCTTAGAAGAGGGAAAACTTTAAAACTAATATTTTCACTAAGAAAAGAAATAGAAGCATTTTTGGTTTCAGTAGGGGCAACAACTGTCCATTTCACAGACAAGCAGTGGCTTTGTGACTTTGGCTTCTTGGTGGATATTATGGACCACCTTCGAGAACTCAGTGAAGAACTACAAATTAGTGGAGTCTTTGCTGCTACTGCCTTCGACCATATTTGTACTTTTGAAGGTAAGCTGAATTTGTTTCAAAGACAAATTGAGGAACAAGATTTAACAGACTTTCCTGCCTTCTGCGAAGTTGTTGATGAGCTAAAACAGCAATTTAAGGAAGATCAAAAAATATTTGAGCCTGACAGGTATCAAATGGTGATCTGTCGTCTACAAAAAGATTTTGAGAGACATTTTAAGGACCTCAGATTCATTAAAAAAGACTTAGAACTTTTTGCAAATCCGTTTAACTTTAAGCCTGAATATGCACCTATTTCAGTAAGAGTGGAACTAACAAAACTTCAGGGAAACACTAACCTTTGGAATGAATACAGAGTCAAAGACTTGGGGCAGTTCTATGCTGGATTGCCTTCTGAATCTTATCCAATTATTAAAGGGGTTGCCTATAAAGTGGCATCGTTGTTTGATAGTAACCAAATTTGTGACAAAGCTTTTGCATATTTGACGAGAAACCAACACACATTGAGCCAGCCATTGACAGATGAGCATCTTCAAGCCCTTTTCCGGGTTGCCACAACTGAAATGGATCCCCGCTGGGATGATCTTATGAGAGAAAGAATTGAATCTAATCCATAAGTCTTTGTAGTAAAGCACAGGAACAAGAATTCAATTCTAAAAGAAAAAAAAAGTTTTTAAGTTTACTAATTTAGATTCCTGGAAAACACCAAGTTTATTACAAGATCAAAATGGGTCAGAATTCAGATCCTTTCAACAGTTGCCTTTTTTTCATCTCCTGTGGCAGCCTAGGACTGAAACATGAGAATTCCACTTTAGAAACTTGGCTTAAAGGCATAGTCATTATCTTTTTATGATATAATTGATTTTAACAAAGTTTAGTATTGATAGCGAGTTGAATTAGAAGTCTGTTTTTAAGGTGTTCTGAAGATACATGCCAAAAATTTTAGCTCTTTAGTGTTAAAATTCTGTTACATAGTATAAAATTGTCAACTCCTTAAATATATTTAATTCAGTTTCCAAAAACTCAGCAAGTTCACAAATTTCTGAAAAGGAAAAGCATATAGACATACAGTATTTTGTCTAACAAAATGTTCGAGACTATTTTTTTAAAGCATTTCTGAGTCCAAAGTAGATATTGACTGATTTTTTTTCCTTCTTACCTTCTCCCCACCCACCCCATTCATACTACTAATAGTAATCAAACAAAATTTTAATCAGATGAGCAAGAATCTATTTTTAAGTGCTGATTTAGGAGACTTCCTATAATTTGGAGTTTCCTAAATTATCACTTTAGAGATTTTCCAGGAATTTTTCACAGCTAGGGGCTGTTTTATCAGCTTGTCTTTTACAAGACTATGGTAAGTATAGAGTCTTAACTGTTGCCAGTTAGTAATTCTTTTTTCTATTCTGGATAGAAGTTTCACTCTACCAAAAGAATGAAGAAAAAGATTTTTGCACTTCAGGATTATAGGTTTGAGATATTTTAGCGTACCTGTTTTGTCTGCATGGCCGTATAAAGAAATCTGGGTAAAGGAAACACTATTTTAAAGTGATACAGTATCAGGTTTTGTTAGCTGCTGGAAATGGATTTATTCTAGAATTAAAACTGCTTCATACATTCAATAGTTAAGACAGCACACAAATAGAAAAATTTCAGATCTCAAGAAGCCAATTTCAAATTTCAACTCTCAAGAAGTGCTGATTTAGGAGACTTCCTATAATGTAAAGTTTCCTAAATGTTACTGACAGATTGTAGTAATTCTGTATTTCTAGTAAGACACTGGCTTTGTGCCATGACAGTAATTAATTTTCAGTGTATGTTGCCTGTGCAAAATTTAATATGTGAAATTGATTTTAAAATAAAAAATAATACTTGTAATACTTGTAACTCAGATTCTCAAGCACAATTTGAAAACTGTTGTGCTACGAAGTCCTGTCTTAACTATTGTAGCACCTTACTCCATGATCACTAATGTGGTAAATTTGAAGAACCAGGATGCATCCTAGAATTTAGAAGGGCCTGATTCCAAGGCAGTCTAAAAAGAAGCTGTTCATGGTTCGCAACCAGAGGTAGTAATCCTTGCAGTGGATGCTGGGAAATATTTTGGGGAATCTGACTGGTTGTCCTTTTTTACTAGGAAGGGTAGGGGTTCTGCTGGTATGTAAGCCTAAGCATTCCTTCCCCCATGCAGTACACAGGACAGCCTCACAAGATGAAGAATTGTCTTTCCCAGAGTGCCAGTAGACCCTCCTCATGTACATTATGTTATTTCAAGGTCAAATTACCGGTAGAAGAAAATCAGAAGGCGAGTTAGACAACTGGAGGGAATCCTTAATAGGAAAGATTAATTTCAACATTCCAAGGTTGGCTGGTAAGGTCAAACATAAAGGGCATCTGTTGTTATAATTAGGGCGGAAAAAGTGTGGAGAAAATATAGTTTGATCAGCAAAGATTAAGCTTAAGTGTCTGAAAAAACAGCGTAGTGAAAAACTGGAAAAATAACCTGCCGGTAATTTCCTGATAATTTCAAGTATTGTCTTTCATAGCAAATGCTTTATTGGAGACCTGGAAGCTGTTTCTGCTTTCTAGTCTCAGTTCCTCAAATATTGAAATTGTGTACATTTTGTGATGTTCTAGTATGTTTTGCAAATCTAGTCATGTGTTGGGAGTGGATGGGGATATAAGCCAAGGATTTAAAATTTAATCCTTGGCACTGGGGAATTTGCTATAACTAGTCTTGTTTGTAGAAAAACAAAGTGTATTTTACTGTTTTCTGTGTAAAGTAATTTTATAGATGCATGACTTTTTTTAAAGTATAGAGTTATTGATCCTGTTGTACTGGTGAATATAGTTAATATAAGTACCATTAAAAAAAAAAACTGTATCCTTAACAGTTACTTCTCCATATCTCATTTCTACTAATTGTTTTGAAAGATTTGCTATCTCTGTCTCCCATATTGCCACTCAAACTGTTCTACCAAACTCACAATTATGGAAATACTCAATTACTTTATTTTAGCTTACAGGAGATAATCTCCAGGCATACATTCTCATTCTTTGCAGACCCCTTTTCCCTTAAGTGTCTGACTTTAAGAGTTTACTTTATTAATTTTTTGAAGTCTGCCTAATGCTGGTTGCCCTAACCTATCTTGAATTGTATCCTGGCTGATCTCCTCTCCTCCTGCTTCAGTTACCACCTGTATGCAAATCCCCAATTCATATCCCCTTTCTAGATTTTTTCCTAAGTTCCTTTTTACCTGCAGAATGTCCTCATCATCTTCTCCTCAAATTTGCTAACATAAATCCACTCAAGCTGTTTCACAGGCACAACATACCATTGATCTTGCCCTCAAACTTGCTTGTCCTTTCTTTTTCCTTTTTTTTCTTTCATAGTTGGATGGCACCAGCATTGCCAACTATGTAGTTTCCTTTGCCCAAGCAAAAACTGAGTCAGTCTAATAATGTCACTCTGCTGCTTTCTTCATTGCTCTTAGAATGAAATATAAATTTGTATTCATCTTTCAGGTCTCAGTTTCTATACTACTTCATCTAGGAAGCCTTCATTGATGCCCTCTAAACCAGGTGGCCCAACTGTACACTCTCTATACTTCCTGTGTTTCCTCAGCCATACACTTAGCACTTGTTATTGCTGCTTGTTGATTATTTCTAGAGTAAGCTTTGTAAGTGCAGGGACCATAAGTCTTGCTCGTTGTTACATCTCTAATGCCTAGCATAGTGCCTGGCATTTAAATGTTTGGATAACTAAGTATTTGTATACTATTTTATGATCTTTGAAGCTCTGTTACAAGTTTCATTTGACCTTTACAGTCATCTTGCCTGTTTAAGGGCAGTTCTTAGTCTCATATTATAAATTAAGAAGTGAAGCTAAGGTCTTTGTGACTAGGAGCCTTGTTATTGTATTCAGAGAGTTTAGTGCAATGCTTAGCGTGTGGTTGGAATATTGTGAATGTGGTTAAAAAAACATTTAAGTAAACATGAGTAGAATTCAAACTCACATAAATCTGCTTTGTAATAAGTACATTCATGACATACAGTCTAGATTTTTTAAATTTCCAAAGGAACCTACATATAGGGAAAAGGAAATTGGACAGCTGTTTAAATACTTCGGTAATCAAAAAGTTATATTTGGTATTGAAGAAAGATAATACCTCATACAAGTTAATATCCATTTTTCCTTTTGTAGGCATCAACCTACAAGAGAAAACAGCATATTATTCACTTGTTACTTTGCTTTACAGCTGATGTCTGGCTCTTGTGGAATTTAAAAGTAAGTAAATTTAACAGAATATTAAAAGGGTTACTCAGGCATTCTGGTTACTACATGTTCATTTCACTTGCTTTTTTACCTGCAGAATGTCCTCATCATCTTCTCCTCAAGGGAGACAATGTGGTATAATTAATTTGTACTTTTAGATTTGCTACATTTCTTTTCTTGTTCCCATGCATCTCTGAACTCAATTTCTGGTTAATAGGAACCTTTTGGGTTTGAATAAGAGAGCCATACCATTAATCTCTTTCCTTAAGTTACTTTTGTCAAATTTGAAGCATTAACTTTTGTTATACTCGTGATTGGATTTAATGGTAGGTGTGACAGTCATCTTTGCCACAATCCTTGGTTAAAAGGATTTCTAATTTTTATCTTGTAATTGAAAAGTTGCCTCTTTATTCTTTTCATTTCTACCTACAAACTGACCAATTCCTTTCTGAGTTCATCTTTTCTGTACATTTTGCCAAATGCAGCCAACAACAGCAAAATAACTTATTTTTCTATGTTGTCTTTAGTAAAGAATAGATGGTCTTCTTGTTTCTCTCAAGGGACAGTTTCACCTCTGTATAATAGGAGTTGCCTCTGTGTAAATTTTTTCTTTCATCCTCCAATAGCAATTTTCTAGATCTTTGCCAACTCATTAACTCTTAAGGTTCAGTTTTTTCAGAAACCTTAAGACTAAATGGAATACATAAAAAATAGTCTCAGTAAAATACTGAAACCCTTGTTTTTAAACTACTTTCGTAAGTTTAATCAAGAATATTTTAGTATTTTAAGAAAACCTTGTTGCTTTTAGTGTAGAAAACTTAATTAGTTATGGCCAATTTAATTATATATCAAAGTAATATTTAGATAATATTTAAATAATGTTTTTTGGGGTGTGCCTCCATAAGACTCTGGAAAAAATCACTAAATCAGTCTGTTTAGTATTTTAGTTCTTTTTAAAACAGGAAGCTAGTTCCTGTGTCAGGATAGGCTAGGCTGCCATGAGGTAACAACTGCAAAAATGTTAGTGGCTCAGACAGCTTAGTTAAAGACTGTTCTAGGTAGGAAGCTGGTAAACTACAACCCACAGATAAAATCTGTCATGTGTTTCTAAATAAAGTTTGTTGGAGTACAGCGTTGTCCATGTATGTGTTATCTGTGGCTGCTTTTTCTCTACAGAAGCAAAGCTAAGTAGTTTTAATATGCCTAAAATACTTACCTTGTGGCCCTTTATAGAAAAAAGATCTCTGGTCCCTGCTCTAAATTGTCCTCATTATGGAACTCAGGCTGATAGCATCAAGGTTGGCTTCTCACTTGGGAACTGAAAAAAGAAAGTTGGGCAAATAACAGGTTCTTACAGCCCTTGGGCATGCCAAAGGTGAAGGAGTGTGAATCACCCCATGTATCACAGGAAAACCAGAAGTATTTGGAAGACAAACATTTGCTAACATATAATATCTCTATTACATAATTTTTCAGTATATTTTTGCTTTTTTATTGAGATAAAAGTTTACAGATGTAAGTGTATACCTCCAGATTTTTTTATATACCCATGGATGTACCACCCAAATCAAGGTAGAAAATATTTATCATCCCAAGAGGTACTTTATACCTCTCCTACACAGATAGCTATTATTGTGACTCATTGTCATCAATTAGTTTTGCCTATTTTAAAATTATATGTGAGATCATTATGTGCAGTTTTTTGTTGAATATTGTCTGTGAGAATAATCTGTATTGTATGTAGCAGCAGTTCATGTTTTATGTGTGTGTACTATTCCATTATATGATTGCTCTACAATTTATTCATTCTAATGTTGATGTAAGTTTGGATTGTTTCCAGTTTGTGATCTTTATGAATAAAGTTGCCATGAAAATTTTTGTGTTTCAGTGAACATGTGTATGTATTCCTTTTGGCATACTCTTTGGTACTCTGCCTCCATATTTCCTTTATACAGATTTTTTCCACACAGGAACAAGAGTGATTCTTTAGTTCAGTTTAGTTTTTGTCTTTTTAAGACAAGGTCTTGTCATTCAGTTTAGACTGGTTTTGAGCTCACTTGGTAGCCCAGCCTCGTCTCGAACTCAGTGATCCTCCTGTCTCAGCCTCCTGAGTCCTGGGAATACAGGCCTGCACCACCATGCCTGGCTAAGAGTGATTTCATTTAAAAATAAGCCAAGTGATGCCAGTTCTTGCTGCAAAATCCTCTAAGGACTTTGAGTAGACATGGTGGCATATCCTAGGCTGAGCATTCAACTGCAAGTTCAAGACCACAAGACCAGTTGGTAACAGCAACTCTGTCTCAAAAGGGGGAAAAAAAAATAGAAGGGCTTGGGATGTAGCTCACTGGTAGCACTGTTCACTAATGTGTCCAAAGCCCTGGATTCAAACCCCAGTACTACAAAAACAACCCACAAAAATCTATTTGTAATGACCTGTCAGGGCCTATATAATTTGGATTACTGTATTCTGTAATAGACATTATAAACTTGGGATCAAATGCTTTGATTGTCCTTAGACAATCAAAGAGGTTTTGTTTAGTGGAGGTGATTTTGATGCTAGAGATTGTTTGTTAAACGCTCTGCTACTGAGATAACACGACCAGCCCTAATGGTTTTGATGTAAACCATAACATTGATTTATGGTAAGTTATCCCAAGGAACACTAGTATTTAACTCCCAAAAGGGATTTAGATTAAAATACAAACTGATAAAAACATGTAAGGCCTTGTATGTTCGTTTTACTGGTTGTAAATTAGACTTCAGATAGTTAGGAATTACTATAATTGCTCAGTTCATGAAGATAGGTAGGAGCTGGGGGTAGAAGCACTAGGAAGGCAGTGAGATAAATAAAATCTCAAGTCCAAAATAGCAGTTTCATGAAGAGACTTCCTTTAGCATACTATTATTAGTGCATCTTTTTATAACTTCCTGTGCACTTCAAGCAAGAAATTGCATGAGTAAAGAATAAAATTTGATTCACAATAGTCCATGAATGTATCACAATCAAGTGTGAATGCCACTTGTGAAAATTTTCATTTGGCTTTGATAATGGGAAGGAAAATTTGTAACTTAAAGGAGAAAAAAGAGCTTCAGTGAAAGTTGCTGTCTCAGTGTAGGCTGTTGTAATTATTTCTGTTACGGAGACTGGGAAGTTCAGAGTCAAGGTGTCTGGGGAGGGACTGCTTCCAAGGGTTTACAGGTGACCATCTTCTCATTTTTCCCTCTAGTGGAGAGCAAGAAGTGAGAACAAGTGTCTTTTTGTAAGAATACCAATCCTACCTTGAGGGGGTCCGCCTTTATCATCTCATTGCTTACTAATGGCCTCATTGGAGGGTTAGGATTGCAACACTGGAACTTGGCAAAGGACAAACATTCTGTCCATAAAGGAATATGTGGGGATATCTCTTTTAACTATCATCGTCTACTTTCCTTCCCTGTATCTTAGCACATTGCCAGTCAGCTTCTGTGTACCTCCCTGGTTTCTGTAACAACTTTACAGTGCCACTGACTCATTCTGCTTATATGCCAATTGCATATTCCTGGTTAGGAACTTGTGGCAGTTCGGTCTTAATGTTATCTCCCTGAGGTCAGGCATATACTTGTAGTGAGGTGAGTGGTGGTTATGAAGGGGAGAATCCCATATTGTTTGAAAGGTCTTCCTGGTAACTTCACCAGCATACAAGGAGGAGGAAACAAAAAATGAATGATATAGGGAGCTGTTGAAGCTAGAGATTGATTACATGTGTGAAGCTAAACAATACCAGCCCTGAAAACCCAGAGAGCTCAAAACAAGCCACATAAACAAGCTGTTCCATTTCCAAGAAGGCAAGGGGCCCAAGACAGCTAGGCAAACAAGTTGCTAGGCAGTAGGGTTGAAATTGACCTTCTTTGGAGGGTATAAATAAACGTGCTACAGTGGTTGAGCAGTTCCTTCTCTGCTGTCCTCCCTGATAAGGAGGATAAGGGCTCCACCTCAACAGGAACGATAAGGCTCTACCTGGCCCCAGCTTTGTCTCTTCTTTATTTTTTCATCCTCTCATGGTCCTTCACCCCAAGAACCTCAAGAACCACATGGGTCATGGCAGAATGATTAGAGAAATGCAAGAATATCTCATGGAAGCTTTGTGAAGGAATTAAATTCAGCAATCAACAATTATTTAATAAAGGCTTGCTGGGCCCAGGTACTGATCTGGTGTAGTAGGATGCCAAAAGAAACTGTTCACCCTTATGCAGCTTGTCTGTGGCCCTTTGTGTTTCACTTTCTTCTCTCTGAACATTAGTTTCAAATGCTCTCTTCTTTTCCTGGGAGAACAGTTGTGACTCCGGCCACCAGTACCATGGTTGGGGTGGATGGAGAATACTACAGGAGGGTCTGGGCTGAGCACACCAAAAGCTATCTTATTCAGTCATCCTAATATCTGCTTTGCCTCCTCAAGGTTCTCACTGAACCTTCTCAGTCGGAACTTTTGGAACTGTTAAAAGGCCCATAGATCATTTACTCCAGCTCCTTTACTATGTAAAGAAATTGAGTCCCATAGAAATGGCTAAGGTTATCGTGAGTTAATTAGCAAGCCTAGGATGAAAGCCCAGTTTTCTGACCTGTTCCATGCTTTCCCCACTCTGCCATCGCTATCACTACTAGACCGGAGTCACGCTTCACTCATTTTCAGGGAAACCTGTTTTCATGGTGGAAAATCACAGAATCCTCACAGCTGGTTGTGTCTTTTGGTAGTGGCTACTTAGGAGTGACTAAGACAGGAAATCTTCAGTGATTACACAGAAATCTCGTAAACTTCTTTGAGATATGAAAATATTGGATATATAAGACAAAATACAAAATTTTTCTATTTAATGTACATACTGTGAAATGTTTTAAAAGCACAAATACTTCTTGTTTCAGAAGCCCTGAAAAGTTTATCTAAAATGGAGCTGGGACTACTTTAGTTACTAATGACTTTTTCATTTCAGCTATATCTCTTACACATTTAGTTAATTTCATTTATTTGCTTAGGAAAGTTTCCATTTAGGTTTTTCAGATATGGTGAGTGATTCATGGTGTTTTTGCTTTGTCTTCTCTATTTGATTTTATACTCTCTCACATTACTAAAGTTTAGTCTTTATCTTTTTCTTAGCCTCACTAGTAAGTTTTTGTTTTGCTTTGCTTTTGTTTTTTGTTCTTTTAAAAGAGTTTTGCTCTCGCCTTATATAATACTGTTATTTTGTAATTTATGGATTTCTTTTCTTTTATTTCATTCATTCATTATTTTGTATCCTTTTTCCATTATTTTTTATATCCCTGAATGGAATACTTTCAAATCTTGTTTAAAAATTAATCTATTCCTCATTGTACATAAAATCATCTATAAATATAAAATAAATTTATTTAAAATGGTTTTATCAGTACATATTTGCTGCACATAATGATTATATTCATTGTGGGTAGTTGTTACATGTATGTAACATGTTGTATCTTAATTATCTTTACCCCCCCCCAATTTCTTGGTTCATTTATCATCTGCAAAAGATGTGTCTGTTTCCTATTGTCTATCTTGCATTCAATTTCTTGGCTTGTTATATATCTATTCAGATAGTGTGTTTCTTCTTATGTCACTTTTAGTAGTCACAACCTTCCTATATCGAGTGCCCTAGGCCACAGTGTCACAAGCTTTCTATAGCTGGACAGCATCACACAGAACCAAAAGATAGTTCAAAAACGTATTGTAGCTCATGAGAAAGGTTGCTTGATAAATATCAGGCTTCAATCTTATTTTTGGTATCGTGAAGAGCTTGTTTCCCTGGCAACAGGGCCTACTTAATAAATGTGACAGGCAGCAGGCATGAACATGTCCACAGCAGGTACACATAAAGAAAAAAAATCGTCTTCAATAAATATTTGCTTTTAGTCTGCATTTTCAGGTCTGTTAATGGTTTTAAAAATAAAAGAAAATTTAAATAATGCCAAAGAGATAATAAAAAGCTTTGATATCCTTACTCTTCTCCTTCCTCATTCTTATGTTATAGTAACAACCATGTATAAGCTTGTCTTTGATTAGATCTTTTGGCTTCATCTATCTCTCTATCTGCTTAATTTTCATATGATTTTTCTCAATATGCTTAATGATAGACATGGTCTATTGCCTATAATTAATTAGGATTAACTAATGTATATCATCCCACTTCTTTCCTTCTTCTATTAGTTTTTACAGGTGTATCATTGGTTTTCTGTTAATCACTTTTATAAATTTAGATTTTATTCTTATGTGATTTGTTTTTTACTCTTTCAATTTTACCAGTGTCTTGACTTTTTGGTTTTTAACTAGTTATTTCATTACTGATTGATGCTTGGGCTGTTTTTGAGTTTAAATAAAAGTGCCACCAACAAATATTATTGGTTCTATGTTGTTATCGGAAATTAACCTCTAGAAATGGAAGTTCTGAGTCCAAAAACAGAGTATTTTAAACATGAATTGCTATTGCTAACTTAAACTCTAAAATGCTGCATCAATTTATAGGACAGAAAAATGCTACGCACAAGCCATTGCAGCAAGTATGTGCATCTTTATTTAAGCTAATCTGAGGTGGGTTTTCTGTTACTTAAAGCCAAAAAGAATCTTAAATAGAACTGATTTTCATTTAATCTGAGGTAAGCCTTTTCCCATAGTCTTCTATACTCTTTCATATATAGCTAATGGTTCATAGAAAGTGTCTTAGTTACTTTTTACTGGTCACTGAGACAAAATACCTGATGCCCAAAGCTGGGATGGGAAAGGTTTATTTCTTACAGTTTTTGGAGATTTTGGTTCATACTCAGTTGACTCCAAGGCAGAGTGGCCTGGCAGGGGCAGTTCATGGTGGCTGCAAACAGCAAGGCGGA